AAAAGACAACCTAAAGGAACTAAAGTTGAGTGTTAATAACACCTCTATGGTATGTTAGTTTTTCTATTTTGAGTGTTCGTGGTCACAGAAAAACTAGCTTTTGCTGAAATACATTGAAGACAGTAGCGTACAGAAATCGGTGTGTGAACAAACGGACATGTGTCTTATTGAAGAAAGACCGTTGCCCCTCCATACAGAACTTATAGTTGTTAAAGTAAGACCAGCTCTACGTAAATAAGTGGAATCTTATTGAAGGATTATGGTTTTGAATTCAGTACCAGTCTAATTACAAATTGGAGCGTGTTTTCAGAAGAAATCTAGTGACACGAAATGCCAATAGTAACGAGAAACAGGTAACGTTAATGAATAAGAAAATGGTCTACAAGCAAATTGTCTACGTTCAAAAATCGTCTGGGTTCGAGTAAACATTTCTAAAATTACAAAAATAGTTAGTTGCACCTCCCCATTGAGCTTTACCAAGACTGACCAAATTCAGCCTTCAGCTTGACATCCTTCTAGGTTTTTTGATGTAACCGAAACTAACCCAAGAGCTCAGTGTCGATTATTTTTAACACACCGTTTAAAGTGGAAAACTCATTTGAATTACAAATAATTTTTGAAATTAGTATTCATATTTGCGCTCAGTCTTGCACGTGGAAGGAGCTTACGAACCGCAAGGAATTTCAGCGTATTTTCCAGCTTTTATGGATTTAAGGAACACGTTATATTGACCTTATTACCTTGGATATCGTCAGTTCTGTCAAGGTTGGTGAGTGTTTCTTATGCCGAATCGCGTGGCTAACATTCGACGTCGAGGATTCATGACTTCAATTTTGTCAAGACTTTTCTTCAGGTAAATAACCTATATACAGATATATTTCGGATGGAATTGTAGTGCTCGTGTTTTTCGTTGTTGCTCGAGTAAAATTAATTTGTAAAGTCGAATATAAGAAGGGAGGGCAAGATCACATAGCACAGAACGAGCCTCATTGTCAGCCGCCATGACAGTTTCTTGATCGTGTCTTTAATGGAATGCCGAAAAATTCATTCTTTACTCTTATTGTGCTTACCACTTATTTCCTTATTTTACTTTTCATTTCTGTATTGATTTGTCAAACTATACATATTTTTATGCCTCGAGTGTTTTTAAGTTTGTTTCAACCCCTTAATTCCCGTCAGTGATCAAGACAGAATTTCTCTTTACAATATCAATACAATATCAGGCAGACAAGTGATGAGAACAAAGAAAAATATCAGTTAGGGGATTATTGATTGATCCAATACCAAATTCTCAAAATTCACATTATAAGAATCTATAGCAGACAATAAGAAAAATTAATTTTGAGAGTTAAAGGCTTAAACGCGCTTGTTATTTCCTATCAATCCCGCCAAAGAAAGTAGGGAGCAATCGTTAAAACATTTTACATGTAATGTAGAATCATGTGTTCTGGATATCAGAGGATTGATTGCCATCTTTCATGCAGAAACTGCAGATGGCTGTACCCTCTGTTATTTGTATTATCAGTGGAACTTGACTAAATACTTTGGGGTAACCTGATATGCATTGGCGCTCCAACAAAGAAGGGTTCTTAGACTCTTACATCTCATCCACACCTGCAGAACATATTCACATACACCGGATTTAACTGAATGAAAATCAGAAACAGAGAACTGAAAAATTGAGTTTTCCATACGTTTCAAGAAGTCAGTAGCTTATATTTTCAATGTCCTAAATATGACGTCGACAAACATCGATTTATACAGCTTCTATAAAGAATAAAATATTTAACCGTGTTTAAGAAAACAGCTTTAAAACATGTCTAGAGCGAAGAAATTGCAAATCGTTGACTGCCACCTTAATCCAAATTACAGATTATAGATCACCTTTAAGTCTCCCATCTCCAACTTTTTTTATTTTTTATTAATTTTTTTTCAGAAAGTAATTGCCAACTGTGGACTTTAGGTTCAAATTTATTTCTGATTGTTTTGCGGTGAAATCCTCCTGTTGGCTGATGCAGGTAAATAAGATCCTAGTATTATACGGTATATAAAGTTTTGCTCAGTTTGTAGTTAATCTTAGATGCATAGTGCATAGGGAGATTAAAAGTTTTTTGTCTCACTCTTATTCTTATGATTTTACGCATAAAATATTTATTTCAAAACAGTCTTAACCACCCATCCCCTCACCTGCTGAAACAAAATCTCCACATGAAATACGGGCATATTATAGTTGAACCCAGATGAACTTTACTTTTCAAATGGTTCCAAGGATCTGTGAAAGGTTGTTTAAATGAAACACGCACCTAATTAACCGTGTTATAATATTGTAACAAGAGCAAACGTAATTTATACTGAAGAACTCTATACTGTCTTTTTAAAGAGTCAATTAGGTTTTTTGTTTCCTTTTTCCCACGGCTTTTGGTTCGTAGTGCTGCTGATTTCATGAGGTAAGTATTGACCTATATAGAATAAAATACAAATGTTATTTAGTCCAAGTAAAAAACGTAATAAATATGAAGACCTGGTCCTACATAAAAAACGAAAAAGAAAAAAAAGACCTGTTTCGGACACTGGAGTGTGTTTGTACAAGAGATGGGAGACCATGTTAAGGCTGAATCAGTATGGGGCATTGTCACCCAAACAATCTCTTCCTTAGTCTTGATCTGTGATGCAAAGACTTGGTCCTCAAAAAAGAAGATGAAACAGTTTCGGCCACTGGACTGTCTTGTATGCGCTAATCGGGTGTTTGACTTTGTACAAGAGATGGGAGACTTAAAGCTGACCCTTAAGGGGGTTGGTGTCACCCAAACAATCTCTTCCTTAGTCTTGATCTGTGATGCAAAGACTTGGTCCCCAAAAAAGACGATGAAACAGTTTCGGCCACTGGACTGTCTTGTATGCGCTGATCGGGTATTTGACTTTGTACAAGAGATGGGAGACTTAAAGCTGACCCTTAAGAGGGTTGGTGTCACCCAAACAATCTCTTCCTTAGTCTTGATCTGTGATGCAAAGACTTGGTCCCCAAAGAAGAAGATGAAACAGTTTCGGCCACTGGACTGTCTTGTATGCGCTGATCGGGTGTTTGACTTTGTACAAGAGATGGGGGACTTAAAGCCGGCCCCTAAAGGGGTTGGTTTCACCCAAACAATCTCTTCCTTAGTCTTGATCTGTGATGCAAAGACTTGGTCCCCAAAAAAGAAGATGAAACAGTTTCGGCCACTGGACTGTCTTGTAGGCGCTGATCGGGTGTTTAACTTTGTTCAAGAGATGGTTGATTAAGGGTTGACCCACCTAGGAGTCGGTATCGTTCAAAAAAAATATAGAAAAGATTAAAAGGTAACTCATTTTAGATAATATTTCATACATTAAAACTTAAAATAAATGGAAATAAAAAGGTAAAGTTGATTTTTGTATCTTTTGGTTTGACATAGGATTCAAGGGAAAGTGGGAAATTCGATGTATATTTACGTCTTGGATTTCAGTGGATTATGATCGCCTCCATGAGGTGTCCAAGGCGAGTGGTTTGTTAGCATTGAGAAGCTGCACGTGATCAGTTGAAGCAGAAGCACACAACACAGAAGCATCATTTTAGGTATTTTGGTATTTAATGTCTCAGAGCTGGGCGTGTTACCTGGCAGCCCAGGTTCAGTCAATCAGAGTTTATTTTCTCGCTAGGGTGGAATGTAAGAACAATGGCATTTTCTTTAAGTGCTGTCCTAGTGTTACGAGTTCAGTTTACGGCTCACGCGCAGCTCTTCAAGAAAATCTCACGATTGATACGTCAATCCGCGATCAGCGTGAAGCAAAGCAAAACAGCTTACTTACGGCCAACTAATAAAATTAAAAATTTTAGAGCTTTTTTCGGTGCAAGAAGGGGTTGAACAAATTATTTCACCATTATGGAATTAACTTGAGGTCACTTGCTCAGATGTATTTCCCGCGCGCCATAAATCCGAGCAGAAAAAACGAGGCTCCCTAACTTAGAGACGTACCGAGAAAACGCGGTTAGTGAGATATTTAGTACATCTCCTGGTTCAAATAGAGGGGGAGATTTCAATTCAGACAAACTGTTAAATTTAGTGGGCCGTACAGCAAACTACGACCGCTAAATTGACCAATCATAGCGTACGTACTAACCGAGAGATATGATAAGCTTACTTGGCGTACGTTTTATCTCTCGACGATGATTTGATTCAGTCGCAATTCTCTCTCAAACAATAGTTAGAGAGCAAATGATCACCTAAAAATCCGCCCCAGAAAACTCATAGGAAGCGTAAATTGCAGGTTCTCCCAGAACTTTTGACCTTGTTACTTTCTTCAAGGTTCTCTACACAGCATCGAAATCTCATTTACTTCTTCTAAACTCAACAATTGATTTTTTAAGCGGTTACGCTTTCATGATCAGATCCTTTCTTTTTTAAACCTACAGAGCACTACACTTGATTCACCGCGACTGATCAGGGAAAGTTCGAGGAAAAAAAAATTAGAGTTAGGAAAAAGTCAGGGAATTTTGTTTCCGTAAAGGAAGATAGACGTCCAATTACGCTGTTATTTTCTCACAATCGGTGAGAGTTAGGAAATTAAGTTTGTCGTCATTTCTATAGGAATGATAAACCGCCTCATTGTTCTGACTTAAAACTCGATTTCAATCCTCTTAGAAATTACTTCTAAGGACCTCACTTGGAGTCTTCGTTTTTCTTATGTGTGAAAATCCACACGTAATAGATCTATTCATATTTTCGTCTTTTTGATTATGCGAAAGTTCAAATGATGTTTCATGTTTTCGAGAGATTTACTAGTGTACATGTGCAATGCAGGTTAAGCCGTTGGGCACCTCAAAAATTAAAACAAAAACCGAAAAAGAAAACTCAGTATCGTTTAACGACACCGTGCACTTTCTTTTCCTGTTTAAGGTACCGAGGTTACAAAGTTAAAAAGGTCATGAGGGACACGTGTTGAGCTTAATTACAGCTGAATAGAGATTTGTTATTGAGGTGAGTTTATTTCATTGTTTCATTGCGTACATATTCATTGTTTTGTTGTTGTTGTTGTGCTTTGTCCAACGAATGTCCGATTGTACAAAACTTTTTTATGTATACAATTACAACATGTCGTGTATTATACTATTATATTGTGGCTCATACATATTTCTTTATTTTTCCCTTCATAGAATTCATGAAGAATGACCAAAAAACCAAACAATTGTCAACCTTCCGAGAAGAAATAAGAATTAGGGGTAGATGCGCCTCCGTTCCCAACCATGTCTAATGTGCAAAGGCAGTGTTTCAGTATTTGCAAAAATTGACTACCTTGTGGTAATAGCCTCGTGTAATACGCATGTGTATAAAGACAGACATTTGGCTAGATAAAACGCATGCGTTTGACAGTAGATGTTACTACCACAAGGTGGACAACTTTTAAAAAGAATAAAGAAAATTGTCTGCAAGAGGTTGGCGGGCGGGGGAGGTCGGATGGAGAAAAACAACTATATCAAATTTGTAATATTACTGTATTAAAAAATTGTAATAAAGAGTTTGTAATATTACTACTGTACTATATATTAAAAGATTGTATTGTAGTACTGTACAGTAATATACTGTACTGCATCACAAGGTAGATGCATTATCATGAGTTAATAAAAGTGGCGGGTGTGGTGGTAGATGGTGGACAGAAACCGTTTGCGTTTTCCCTTCAAGGTTGATAACCTATAAGTACCTTTTAATAGGGGCAGGTGTGGTGGGGGATGGTGGACGGATCAAACCCCAATTTTTTTATTTTATTCTCTGAATTGGGGTCGATCCAATTTTTCTTTCTCTCTAAGATTGTTATTTGTCTCTGGCCTTATGCTTAAGGTGATCGTGTTCCTTGGTATCCAGCCTTAGGTGGTCGAAGAAACCTGCAAAACAGGAAAATGAAGTGAAGACCATAAAAACGTTTACCCCCAACTTTCTGCCTTCCTTTCTATGGTCTTCTTGTATTTAAAATAAATTGAAAACTTAATAACGTCGAGGCTATCAGAATAAACGTTCAAGTTTTCCAATAGAAATAGAATATACTTTTTACAGTCTTTTTTTTTTCCCCTGGCAATCTGAAGTAAACTGCATAACAGATACATTTAATCACCTTAGGAACACGAGACGCCAGTCTTCAAAATAGCTTCTCTATCGAGCAAACCATAGTGTAGGATGAGTTTTTCTCGATGTCATTACTGTAGTGGCTTTTCTTCTTCTGACAAACAGCGAATTTCTACTGCCTTTCCTAGGTGATGCTTTCTCAGGTCCAATCTTTATCATTTGCTTCGCTCAGCTATCTGCAGAAAGTTCAAGATTACAAATGTAAACTGTACTTTTATGTGAACGGACAGAAAATAAACATATAATTTCATACGAAACCAGGTTCGGTGTACTGTTGAAGTCTGAGTCTAAAAAATCGCTAAGTACAAATTTATCAGAATAAGAACGCATCTCTTTCATGAAATTAAGTAAACAGCAATGGAAAGAAAAAAGAGAAGGGCTTAACGAAGAGTTTTTATATCCCTTAGGTAACGTGAATTCTGCTTTAGCCATGAAATTTGCATATTACAACTTGCGTTTTGCACGTGGCTCTCTGAAATGGCTCCGCAATTCTAAATCTGTAAAGCAAATTTTCAGTAATTATTGATAGCACGAAAAACAATTTTGGCAAATTTTAGGCCATAGAGAATCACCTGCAGAGTTGTATGACGTGAATTTGATTGATTCAACCTTCTGATTGCTTGAATTACACGTTGAGGAAACAACAACAATAACAGAAATAAGCTTGTGCTTTATAAATTGGGTTTGACAGAAGCGAAAACCGCAGATACTAAAATTTCAAGAAGCTTACTAATGCCAAACCTTGCAGTTATTTTGGACCTTTACGCAGTTCAATTTTAGTTTGCCCTTAGCGATAGGATCAACTTTTCAAACTGTTAAGTCCTAATGTGATTTCTGACCATAAGACTGCTTACCCAAGCAGTTTCAAGAAGTGAGAATGATAAACGATCAAAAGTAATGGAACAGTATCCCACTGTCAAACTAAACGTCTTAATTGGTTTCTGTAAAATATAACAATGGACTCAGTAAGATGTAGAACTTTCTAACCTGTAATCAGTATTTCAAGAGATCATCTTGTAACCTTCAATCCCGGTAAACATCATTAATTATTCTTCCATAACTGCAATCTTCAACTAAACCATTGTCTACCTGAAAAAGACAGTTTCAACAAAACATATCTGCTAGTGAAAACGTTTACCAGATTGATATTTTATGTAAATTATTAAATACTATACATCTAAAGCGAAAAAACTTAAAACTAGAAAATAAAGCAGAGTCAAAGTAAACTCCATGTCACTACCCTGGTCAATTTTCCCAGCACCACTTCGAAGAGAATAGGATTCGATTCTAACCGGAAAATTCTAGCTGATTATTCTGGTCCAAAAAACGGTCACCGTGATAATATATCACGAACACTACACAATTATTTAGGCATTACCTCACCAAGACAAAAATTTTCAAATAGCCTGGCAAGATGGAAAGCCTTAATTGTTTTTAGGTGCAACACTCTTTACCACACAGCTACAGGTCTTAACGACACGTTCTACTCTAAAGAGCGAATAGGAACACAAACGCTCCTCAACTGTACAATTCGTATGGCCAGAATTCAAGTACACGAAATCTATACGTCAGGTTGGCGTAAGATATTGTCGTTAACACACTTAACTTCTCCGAAAGGCAGCTGACCTGCCTTCTTTCTCAGTACCCCCTAACCCCCACCCCCAGAGTAAACCATCAACAAGTTGGATAGCGGAAGGTATTCGTTGCGTGATGAGTCGCCGAGAACATCAACCGTTTCGTTGTAATTTCATATAAATGAACTCGCTGGTTACGGAAATTTTTGCAATTTAGAATCCCCGTGGTGAAAAAGAGAAGCCTACTGTTCCAACTAAGTTGCCCATCTTTAAACTTCATATAGGCTATTGAATCAAAACGTCATGTAGAAAAGCGTGAATGAAGACTTAACGATATCGGAGTAAACAATTCTCTTGCCTGTCAAACAGTCTGCCAGTCAGCCTGCAAGCCAGTCAGTACACTAGTGAGGCAGTCAGTCAGTCAGTCAGTCGGTTAGCCAATCAGTCAGTCCCTCTGTCAGTCAACCACCCAGCCAGGTAGCCTGCCAGTCAATCCGTCCGTCAGTCATCATATTGTACTACATGATTAAACTAGACGAATTACATGAGCTCCAAGTAGACAAGCCTTATGCCAATTCACATCTTGACTCAGTTTATCCATGTGCAAGGACAGGCACACGCCAAAAACCACTTATCAATGTGCGCAGCTATTAAAGCCACAAAGCCAAATACAGGTTTGAGTGCCTCATGTAAAAGTCCTATTGAACACGTGTTGTAGAAATTAATATTCAATGAGTGCAAATAAATTATATTATCTGAATCTATGAGACTCTCAATCATTACTCAAATGATACTCTTGAGGGAAGGGAGGAGAGAAATATTTAAGTGATTCATACTCTAGAGACTTTTTCAAATACAATTGTAATGGTACCAAATAACATGAAATGCATTAAATGCAATATGTAAAATCCTACAGCTCAGCAAGATGTATACTGACCCAAAACTGAGCTAAAAACTCTATGGCCCTCAAAATGTAAACCTTAAACATACCCACAAACCAAAAAGGTACAATCTGGAGAGTCTATGACCCAACAAACTTGAGATCCAAAGACCCTATAGACCCTCAGATCTAGATCTGACAAGACTGAAAAAATTTTAGGACCCAAAAATGTTGAGACCAAAGATCCAACAAGTACGACCCAAGAATCCTACCCTTAGTGTCCAAAAATACTATGCTTAGAAGTCTAAGAAGTCTACGACCCAACAGTCTGAGACCAACGACAACTTGAGATCTGAAAAATGTAAGACCCATGAAAACCAAAAATCCAAATAATCTGAGGCCTCAAATTACCAAAGAGACATTTAACTATGACAAAGAATAAAAGAAAATCCCAAAAAACCTTGGACTTAAAATAGCAAAACCCTGAATCCTTCCACCTGGGAAAACCATGAGACTTGAGAATAAATTTAAAGGTTTTTAAAGCAAAAAAGTCAACACATTAAATGAGTTTTGCTAAAGCACTTGTTAGAACAATTTAATGCAGCCCACTCACTTTAACAATTCTATTATAAAAACAAACAAACAAAAATTAAAACATAAACTCTAGTACATGTAATACCTTCCCAATAAAGAGGGTTGTGGGCCAACAGCTGGGTGAAAAATGCCTGGTAAATTATCCACTAGCATCTAGAATAACAACCTAGAGCCAACTGTACCCATATCCATATGTTTGAAATTTGATAGAATACTATGAAACTAAAAAATAAGTCACCTTTCATTTGCATTGTTGTTGTCAGTCATCACCAGTACTCTCTCTCAATACTTTTCACCATCATTTCTTGGCTCAAGATGTTCAACTGTCATGCTTTTGTGGTGGATCTGAAATAAAGAAACACTATTAAGTTACTTCATGTAACACTCTTTAATCAAAACAAATTTCATTCTATCAGTATCACGGTGGCTTATTTTTCCTTATTTATTTGCCTCTCTCTCTCTCTCTCTCTGTAAGAAGCCCATGGAGTGAAAGCTTATCCAAAAGTTTTACCATAACAGCTCTCTTCAGAGACTAAGAGTATTACATGACTACTTTTCCAAAATAAGATGTTTGAACACAACACATTCACCCTAGCTACATGCAGGTCAGGTTGGCTGGTCAACTTCTGGTACTGATTGCCCAGGATTTCATAATAATTATATCACACTGGCCCATTTGTTTGAAGGTTGGACAATGCTATCCAGCAGATGAATCACTATCTGGTAGACAGAGATGTTTTTCTCTGAGCCCTAATTTTCTGGGTGATGATCATCTAGGATATTGCCCCATCCAACCTTCTAACAGCTCAGATCTGATCTAACACATGGGTTGGGGCTTGGTATCAAAGTACAATGGGAAATACAGGTCTTTAAAGGAAACAGTCCACAATTTCTCATATAACTACTTGCTGTGAGTGATTATTTGAGTAAACATATGTCTCCGCATAACAAGTAGTGTCATTGACTAAAGAGAAAATAAAGGATACAAAGCTCAAACTAATAAACATCATTTGCTGGTTTTACATGATAAGGGTTTTAGTTTGTGATCAAGCAAAATAATCACTAGCTATCAATGTCCCAAAAATAAAATATAGACAGGAGTACATTAAATTACTCCTTGAGATGGTAGCATGCTTAATTACTCCCTGAGATAGTGTGTGATCAATCTCAGGTTGAGTAATACATAATTGATTTAGAGATTTTTGACTGTTGATGAGGTTAGAAATATTTTTTCTTAATCTTAATCATGACCTATCACACATTCATATATAATAAATGATCTCAAGTGCAAAACACATAACCCAGCTCATGTCAGCTGGTGATAGATGGCCAAATTTAACTTTGAAATTCGAGCCCTGAAACATTCCATTTATCAATGACATGCATCAATAAAAAAATCCATGTTCACTAGGTCTCTTTTCAAGACAGCAAAATGCCCTTTTTTAATAGCTCCAAATCAAACTAAGAAAAAGATGGCAAAAAAAGTAGTGTGGTGAGTGCATAATGTTTACAGTCACAATTTTTCAATTCTTTTGAAGACACTTGAAGAATACCATCCAAAAGACCTCATCATCTCTGAGCTGAATGAAACCAAATGTATTGAACACACTCTCAGTACTAACAAGTACCTACCAATCCTTCTGTACAAAGGTACATCAAGGATTTATCTTTAAGTACTAAGTAATTTTATGTAGGAAAGTGCTTCAGGTAATAATATTTACTAACAATGAGACTTGCAGATGTTCTTTTGCAGTAGTTTTGCAATATTTTGGAGCAACCTGGAAGCTCAAGTCTCTGACTTGCTTATGGATTGGTACAGTCATGCATTTATTGGTTTTTATCCTTATGGTTTCCAGTGTTCCTGTTTTTATCCTTTAAAACCTTTTGGCATCATTTGCATGCAGTTTTCCCTGTTGTAAGAAACTATTGCATCAAAGCATAGCATGATTATTTTGGAAATCAGGCAAAATTGGATTTATTTTTCTTTATATCAGTACACTAGTGCTCTACATTTCTCTATAATTAGCTCATCACTTTTCCTAACCTTTGGTGGGGTACATCACATATTTACATCATGCTTTATTAAATTCTCAGCTGCTGATATTGATGAAAAAGCATTAAGTATTACAGTTTAACTAAATGAAATCTCACTCTTTAAGGCATGCAGAGCACTGACACGCTCACATAAATGCAAAATTTTTCAGGTGGTTGAGTGTTACAAGCAGTCACAAAATAACTATATGTGACATGTGCATGTGTGAATTTGTGAAAATTTACATAAATTGAACTATGACTTTGTAATTTGCATGCACTCAAACATTCAATGATTTCAATGTCTCTAAGAGCAAGAGTGTAAGAATTCTAAGTATGTTCCGAGGTGTGTTGCAGTTCTTCTGTCTGCCCCCATTCTGCTTCCTTTTCTTTCTTCTATTTTGTAATTGATAATAACATACATTGTATTCCCTCAAATACGTGCCCAGGCACTTTAAAATTTCAGTTATATTAGGGAGGAGCATTTATTGGAGGGAGGGTGGTTACTTAGGGTGATTCCTCAGTATTGCACTGCGCATCCTGTACTGCACATAAAAATCAAGTAATCAGGCAAATAAGCAAGCACACATTCTGAGAACACCATATTGTTTTCCAATAAATGGACCAGTTAAAGAGGTATGATGGTCTTTAACTTGTGAACAAGCATCATGACCTATATTTTTATAGTGTAATTTTGGTGTACAAATTATCCCCTTTAAATTGGACAAATTACAAAATTTATCAAAGGAAATAAAAGATACGGCTTAAAGCAGGTACAAAGCTCGGACTCAATGAACATTCTGAGTTGCAGTCACATAAAGCTGCATGATTTTTGCACAAATTATATATCAAATTGTTCCATATCCTTGAGACTTTCAACCTATCAAGTTTTAAAATGTTACTTTAAACACCCTTGTTTCCAACTACCTCATAATGTACTGTGAACTGATGAAATGATGCACCTGATTAGTGCCAGAACAGTCCAGTACAAATGAAGTTTGGCCTATCATATCTTTTATACATGCACAGTGACCTATCTTTTAAATTGTTGTTTTTGAAACAGACACTGATAGGAAACATAGGAAAGTTTAAAAAATTGTTCAATAACCCCTTTTTTTCTAGGGAATCACCTTCAACAAAGTGGGAGGGCACTTAAAAAAGAAGAGTGCTTGTTTGGCCTTAGGAGTGGAAACTTATCCAAGCTTTTTAATTCATCCTATATTTTGAAATCAATGTTATTTTGAATAAATTAGTAATACTTGTATTGAGTCTATGAAAACCATGTGCTGTATGATTCCATGAATATAGCTAGTGAAAGATTGTGAGGATTTTTAAACTAAAAAAGAAAAACATCAAAACAACAATGACATCAAAATTTGTAGACATCATCTTTTACGCAATCATAATAAAGAACATGGAAGCTTCAAATACTGCAAATTTTCCCTTTTTTAACATGTGCTGGAGTAAAGCTTGCTACAAAATATTTGAATTTAATTCTGCTTAACCCTTTCACTCTCAAGTGTGACCAATAGAGAATTTCTCCTCACAATATCAATACAATATCAAGCTAATAAGAGACAAGAATTTAGCAAAATATCAATTAGGTGATTGTCAGTTGATCCAAATTCTCTAAATTAACATCATGAGAATTGTAAGGAAGATAGTAGAGAGAATTACTAAGAGATCTTGGAAGTGAAAGGCTACGGTTAAGCTTTAAAACTTATTGAGGCACTGAACGACATTCAAATAAAATCGCGCTGTTCAGTAGAATGAACTAAGAGATGATAAATTACACTTAAATAAAATGTAAAAACAAAGAAGTTCTGAGGTTCACCTTATCTTGAATTAGCTCTTTTACACGTGTTTGTGACAAATTCGAGATGTGAGTCCTCATGAATTTTTTCCAATCCTTGTCTGGCAATCCATTCTCTCCACACAGATATCACCAAAATGATGCAATACGTACGTTTCAACTCATGACACGTTATGGGAAGCTTAAGGACTGTTTTCAGTTTGCTCAGGTTTTGTAAATATTATTTTTCCAAACATGCCGCCATGTTGGATTCCCATCGTTTGTTCCCAGTCTACTATCCTTGTAGACCCCCGCAAGTCGAAAATTGGACCGAACCGTCCCAATACGAAACGTGGGCCCCGTCAGATAACTATCACATCGTGTCTTAAATCGGAAGGAACCGACCGGAAACGGACGTAAGAGTTTTCGAAATTGGATGGAAACGCAGGAAAACAAACGTAAACGTCCAAGGTCGGACTGAACCGTCTGAAAACGAACGTCAGTGGTCGAAATCGAACAAAACCGTCTGATAACGGATGCAAATGTCCGTAGTCGGACGGAACCGTCCGGAAGTGTCCACTGAATTCGTCAAATGTGTCGATACCTTCGTGTGCATCATCGGCTTCTTCGAGAGACATCTTATTCGCTTTTTAAAACAATTTCTGACACCAATATAGAAGATACAGCGCAAAATAAAATTTCGAGAGAAAACAAAAATACAGTAGAGAAAGATGTGAAACAGCTCAAGGGATACTCTTACTGGAGACCTTAACTTTATCGTTTCCCTCTCACCATTTCCCATTTCTTTTTCTCTTATCACGTTTTCGTTGACCGCCTGTTCCTTTGTTCCCATTCCCGTAGTCCGGTGTGCATCTAATTTTTATTGCAAAGAACATATCTACATTTGAAGACCCAATTATCGTGAGAAGATTTGAATACGCAGTCTACTAGAGAACCATCGTAATTTTTGAAATCGCTGGGCATTTTAAAGAAACATCGAACTTCCTCATTAGTTTTGCATAAGATATTAAATATAAGGAGCTCAGTGTGTGAAAGTAAAAGAAGAAAAGGCTGCATGTTCAATTTGGGACTATGATCATCCGTGAGTCAGGCGTATGCTGCCCTCCCGTGTTTCGATTTCCTTTCTCCTCGCACACGCGTAGAGGGAGACAGAGCGGTCGGGTAAAAAAATCTTGACTCGAGGTGTAATTCATCTCATTCAAAAAGATGCGAATGTACCTTTAAGAACGGAAATCATGATAGACCAAAACTTGCATTTATACTGTAGTCGAATTTGGTTGAAAGACCTGGCCGTTCGGGAACTGGGAATGATGAAGGAAAGAGCAAAGGACCAATTAAGGTGCTTCATCACTCAGTATGATCAACAGTTTTTCAAACTACCCGAATGGCCTCAAGTCCTCTTAAAAGAGTAATTTACAACTGATTTCCTGATCGATTAATAGGCTTTAGCCTGATAAAAACAATTTTGGTCTTAATTCATTTCGGCGTCAACACCTTCGTTTTTGAGTTAATGAGTAATGTTATTCATTTCACCTTCAGCTTAAAATGCAAAGTTAATGATTTACCTCACCTTTTAACCATTGAGAAACAAAACCTATGTAAAGAAAGGTATTATGTGGATGGAGATGTAATTCCGATTTCTTCATTATCTGGAGAAAAATATTTGATTTTAACTCTTTTAACGTCGCGCAAAACAAATATAATTTGTCGTATGTACGACCCTAAATTACAATAACAAAAGAGAAAACAACGGGCCAATCACTTGGAATAACCTTGAGACCTTTGAGTAAACATTTACTACTGATAGCAGGCAGGTCAAAATCGCTGTCCACTGAAAACTAAACACGTTCTCCAAATACATCTCTGGCTCATCGTCAACTCAAGAAGTAAAGCTAAGAGTCGTGATTCTTCATGCGATCAGAGGATGTAACAAGGTTGATATGAGACTACTCGCCATTTGTGCTTTTTTTATCCAGGCAAGTTCAAGAATAAGACGTTCGCTGAAAACTGGAGGACATGAAATTTGCGTTTAACCACTCTACATACTGTTGTCATGTCACGTTAGAGACGCAAAAGCGAGTTATGTTTTGTATTTGTATCTAATTTGATCCGCTTTGTCATTCCTTTTTGTTTTTAACAGTACGTGCATTCGTCTACTGTTGTTGACTACTACGACAAAGGCAAGTATACTCTCCACAAAGATATAGGACCTTTTCGTGTCAGCTTCAATGCTTTTGTTCCAACTGCAGTTCCTCGGTAATTCATTTTTGCTACCAAAGCCAGATTAAGTCACTGTTTATTAAAGCATTGCTGGCGAGGTAAGAGAGGAGTGAAGACAAAGATCTGTATTAAAATTTAACCTCTCAAGACATAATTTCAAAGTTAAGCCTTTAATTCACTGTACATGCATGTTTGACGTAAATGCTGTCAGCTGAAAATCAAACAAACCTAACCAAACTTAGATGCAAGAGTAATACTGGCAGCTAGCACGAGTCTAATTATCCGTTCCTTTTGTAGGAACGAAAATATTCATTTCAGTCGGTCATAACAAAACGAAATTCTTCCTGTGCCGTGATATATCGTGACATAGCAGAAAGTTACGTTACCCAGTCAAACGTGTATCTTTAGTCTATCTGATCCCACAAAGTGTAACGATCTATGATAGCATGTTTTCGCAGGCCAAAAATGTAAAGCATTGCACGAATATGAAAAGAGTCATAGATTATGGCGCATAGTAAGGTATGTGTAGCAATATGGATTTTCGAAGAATATAGGTAACAGAAAGATAGCAGCCAAACAAAGGATTCAAAAGGGGCGAAATGGGTTGCGAAACAAAATGAGATTTTGGGTCATGAAATAAGATCCTTTCATACACTTAGGCGCTTTGAAATTGAAGTAACAATCAAACTCCTATTTTGTCGTTTCAGCTTCAAAAGACAATGTTAATGGTTACAAAAAATAATATTTTTTGTTTCGTTTGTTTTCAAGCTTGTTCTCTTCCTGAAGGACATTTACTCGCTTGAAGGAGTGGTAACCTTGAGCTTTTCAATTGCTCATTGGATTTCAAAAATCTTGTCAGATACATACAGCTGCCCATCTTTGTTCACTAATTCATAAATTTGCGGCACTTTTTGCCTCCCCAAATGAACGATAATTTTACCTATTTAATTGTTCCACATGGACACTCAAATTTTAGCCATTCTAAGCTATGCTTTCGGAGCTGAAATGCATGTTGAGAAAAACGAGGGTTTAAACTGTAGTTTTGGCAATGCCTTGTTTTGCAATGCAAACTACGCAGTTGATGTTTGCGCAAATGCCTCTGAGAGTAATTACAAATGAGAAAGAAGAGAATATTCAGCTTAAAAAAGAAATTGATTGCAAGGTGCTAAAAGCAAAAAGGAGGTGAAATCTGTTCATTGTGAAGACGTTTTCTGCAGTCTTAGAAAGAAAGTTACAACTAAATCGCTTTTTGCCTTTGCTAAAAGGCAAACGCGTTAAAGAGGAGAAACAAAATCGTTCTAATGAAATATTCCCTTTCTTGTTTGAACAAAGTTAGGAATTATGAAAAGCTGTTTGGTAAACAGTAATTATGTCGCACACTCAAATGACTATTAATCTGGCAGAACAGTGTAATTTCACTTTTTCGAAGCTATTTTACATCAGTGCAGGCACTATTTTTTTTGCGACTTTCCTGAGTTTCACGAGGGAAGTGATTTCTAACTTATAGCATGGAACAGGCTAAGAAATAACAATCTAATAATGCATCGGTATGGTAAAATATTTTGCTTTGATGAATGTTATGCGGTCCACACTTTTGTTCAGTAATCAAAAGATGCCTCTGATTATGATGAATATTCACTTTTTTTTTTTTTACTTTCTTTTCTTTTTTGTCTCAATTCGTTTATACCGTTCGGTGAAAATTGAGCTTAAAGTTCCTTTTAGTGACCCCTTCTCACGCTGGAAAGTTGAATACAAATACATGGATAAATAGAAAATAATAATAAAAAAACACCAAAATCGGAAATATTTTAACGTATGCTTAATTTCAAGTATGTGTGTATGATGGTTTTGGTAAAAATAAATAAATATTCAGCGTTACAAAATCGCCGTCCATTGGAGACAAATTTTCTTTTCTCCATCAGCTATCTTTTTAGCCCGTTTCGCTGTTCTGAACTACACCAGAGTTTGAATTATTATTTCGTATTTCATAGATGGTGTTGGAAATAAACAATATATTTCTATTCTTCCAGATTTTTGTATTGGTAAATCATCTGGTTTGCATGCAGACCCCGAAGACTGCAGGGCTTATTATGACTGTTCCCACGGTAAAACACGACATCGCACAGGGCTGTCCACCGGACTTATGTTCGATCCACAAAACAGGCATTTTGTTCATTCGTGGGAAATGGATTGTCCAGTCAAAAAAGGTATTGCGTTAACAGATATTTAATAATAATAATAAACTTTTTTTTATTACCTTTGGCGATAAGAATTACGGTAATATTACAATAAAAATTCAAAACACTTCATATTATATATACATATCAAATCAAATTAAGTTTAGCACCTCTAGGAACAAATGAGAACTATGAGGACTTGATCAAGAACACACTCTCTTGCTCGATTGACTAAACAATGATCATTATTACAGGGTATTGCAGTCCTCTAGGCGCCCACCAAGGAAGCGACCTTAAAATAAGGTCAGAGTATCCCTAGCTACCGATTCTTCGCCAATACCCATCACCGTTTCCTAAAACCAAAATGCATTAACTCACACTGTATCTTTTGCTCTTGAAGTTTATCGCGAACTCTGGAGAAATGTCCCAGGTCCATCCGTGGCTGATTTAAAAGGAAGCAATTTCTACCCGTGTGCTGCTTCCAAGACAGAATTCCTCGACACATTCTGTCTTTACAAATCTTACCAGGATAATAGTTACGGTCAGAGGTTGAGATCTTTCTTCAGAGCCCCAGAGACAGGCCATTTCACCTTTCAAACTTCATGTGATAATTCCTGTCAACTGTGGATGAGCAGCAGTGAATCACCAGCTGGAAAGCGGCTTATCATTGATCAGCGTGTGTCAAGCAAAGCATATAGCTGGGATGGGTACGTATATGTTGTGCAAAAATGACTGACTGATCGTGAGTTACCTCAGTATTTTATTAACCGACCGCTGACAGTCAAACAGACCAACTTTTTCCGCATCGACTGGATAGAGTGCGATCTCACAGTGGCCCATTTACGCAATCATTTGCCAATGCATGCCTTGCGCTACTCCCACGACTGATCGTTCACGTTCAAAAGCGCGTACAAACTTCCTCGTCGGTACGTATTACGAGTAGCTCCAAAAGCATTGTGCCGTGTGATGACTGTGCAGGGTCGGCAAAACAATAATTTAAACGTAGCGGGAAAGTGTCCATTTCTGTCGGGGTGTTAAGGCGTGCTTTCCAAGGAACTTTATCTACAGTCCTCGAGCTGTGCTGTCATGACTCCTACAAAATTTTCATCTTTGATAATTATGCACTTAGATTAATTCCTGTAGCTTTCTTGATTTTCCATCTTAGAGTTATGGTTTTCTTGTAGATCCGTTAATCAATTATCAGGAAAGATACACCTTGAGAAAGGCAAGCTGTACTACATGGAAGTACTCCACAAAGAAGATAGATTGGCTGATTTCATTTGCGTCGGGGCCAAATTTCCGACTTTAAAGAAAGAACAGCCTATCTCATCAAGGCACCTTGTCATGAATAGAACAGGTAAGAAGAGAAAATTCATTGAGACGAGCTACCTTTGTACCAAACTGAGCTTTAAATTTGTAATGATGAATGACTTGGAACTTAAACCCGAGGAATACAAATGGTATGTATTTTATTATTTTACATTTCACCTTGATTGCAGAACTGCAGCTTATCGGTTGCAAAGGGAACATACAACAACATAACGTTGAATGTCAAGAGGACACTTCCTGTGAAAGCCCCCATCAACAGGTACTTATGATGTTTTGTGCTAATTTCTTTTTTTGAAAAAGCAAAGCTAAATTCAATGTAAACGTATCATCCATCCACACTCAAATCAGAAATGATTATTTTAAGAATTTCAGTTAGAAGGTCTGTAGGGTTCTGTTTCGTTGCTGACCCTGACTGTTTTTAAATGCCCTCATCTATAAAAAAGAGTTTGAGAATATGTACATATTGTCCGAGTGTGAATGCCGAACGGGATAATATATGGCTCGAGGACATGACGTACGAAACGCGTGCAGTGAGGTCTGTGTTTCATGACCGAGAGCGAACAAGCTCTTATTTAGGATACTTTTAATTTTCCATATGTGAAGAAATGAATTGAATTTTATTATGAATAACATTCAATGCAGTTCTAGTTGGTCGTTTACATGTTCTAGTTAGTTGGTGGAAGCGATTTCACTGATGCGCCAGGAAGATGTGCCGATTTGTCACATTAGAGCTTCCATAAGTTATTTCTTAATCAACGTTCTTTCAAGCTTAACAAATTCAAGCAATCAATGGATTCTTCGATGCGAAGCTTGAGATCAATATCAGCAGACGGATCACCTTCGTCGCTAAAACAAATCAAACAAGTCACGCAGGTTGGTAGTTATAACTTGTGAATGTATTATGCAAATTATTCGCGTATATCACAGAGGAAAGGGATCGAAATGGACTGATTGCTTAGTATATTAGGAAGTGCAGACGTTCCGAGAGTTTCTTGAGACCCAACAACTCCTCATTCGCCCCTAACATTTCTAATTCAAAGTCTTGGAAACATCTCTTCTTCAGAAAATGGGAAAAAAACAATACCATCAATTCTTCGCTTTGCTTTCGATTTGACTGATCGGCTCCAACATATATTTTCAACTTCTCACGCTTTGTAACCAGCACAGCATATCAAACCAAAAAATTGCATTAGATATCAAGAGTTTGCAACAAAGAGAGTTAGAAATGATTTTACCTAGCGGGTGACCCAAGGGATAATTCAAGTTTTGATGATTCTTTGCCAATTCGGTAAATGTGCCTGAGCAGAATTTCATTTATTCCCTTTTCTTGGAATGCAGGAAAGCACTGAAATTATAAACAGAATTCTAGAGGACTCAAAGAAAGAGGAATGGCGTGTATCTAACATGACGTCAGCTATGGAAATTGCTGAAATCACAGAAACATTTGGCAAAGAACTGGCTCACAAATGGTCAAACGATACATCTGGTATGGTCTCATTGGATGCTAACATTGGTGAGTGAATTTATCATCTACATGTCCCTTTTGTCCTTTGTCCTATATTTATTTATGACATTGAGCCCTCAGTATGCAGTGAGCTGCTGGGCAACGAGCATTTCTTCAATACCGGTGCTTGCAAGGTAGCACCATAGCAAAGAAAATTTGATAACCCCTTATGGCCAGAAAATTTCGTTACAACGATACGTGATTAAATGATTATTGTCTGCATTAGCTCTCCAGGCATCAGTGTTGCCGTCCAACAGCTACAAATTCTCAGTGGCTGAGTTTGACGTCAACTGGAGAGGGATCAAAGATATCTTGGCTTTAAAAATAACAAGTAAGTTAAATAAGTAAGATCGCACTCCCGCTTATTTCGTGAATTTGGGCCATGAGCATACGCGTCGTCTTTATTTTCTTATTTTTGCAGAAGGGAGACCAGACAACAAAACGAAAGTTTTTAGCGTCATTTACAAGAATTTGCATGAGCTCTTGCCATCAAATCCCGAGAAAATCATAGAGTAAGTAAAATAAGCGTTTATCTCTCTTGCTTGGCTTCTTTGTTATCTCTAAACCTTTTCCCTCCATTGTTTTTCTCACTATCATTGGCTGAGAGACCTCTTTACTACTGAGAAACAAATCATGTGAGCATAGTTACTGCACAAGCCTGTCAGAGAACTGGCGAAGATACAATTGTTTCTCATAATGATTAATACTTTCAGAAAGCTCTTTTGTTGTTGTTTTTTTCTCCTAACTTGTAGGAAGCAAGCCTTTGAAGAGAAGTATCTTGAACTTAACAGCCGAATAATAAGTAGCCTTATCTACCCGCCAGCTGATAGTCAAACTTTAGAGGTCCGGGTCACTTTTCAACACCTTAAGGTAAGATTGTTGCTGTATAGAGGACTAACACCTCGATTTTTAGCGGCCGTTTTTGAGTCAGGCCTATTGTTTTTTATGCCTACTTCTTTTGTGGACCATCACTCAAAATGAAATAAAGATCTTGGATTGATTCATTGACAGGTCCTTCATTTTTTCCTTTTCTTTTTAATGGAAATAGATGTGATCTCATCACTGGTTTATTTACTAATTAATGATGACCTGATTTTTATCCTTTTTTTTACAGCACAAATCGAATGCCTCTCTTACGCCAGTTTGTGTGTGGTGGGACTTCGCTGCTGCGTGAGTACCAAGTCAGATTTAGGCTGTAGAGCAAAGATGTTCTGATGTTAACAAGGAAATTGTTTCTGAGCTTAATACCCAATCTGAAAAAGAAGAATCCGCCAAATAGAGTCGGACCTAAATTAGCCATGTTACATAACACTTCCACAATTTTTCCTTTGATATAGGCATGTATGGAAAGTGTTTCCAACATACAATTTAGAGCTGCCTAACCTTATCTCTTTTAGTATCAGTTCAAAAGGTATCACCATGTCTGTATCAAAGGCGTCGTTCCATTTAAAATGCACTAATGATTTTTCCTATTTAATTAGTTCTTTAAAACCAATCAGGAATAACATATACCCCTTCCAATTAATCTCCTCGGTTAAAACGCTGAAAAAAATAAAAAGAAAAACTACTGATAAAGAGAGAGCTAAAAAAGCTCCAAATGAATGAAACAACTTCGACTTTAGTCTTATGGCATTGTTCTCACGATACCTGTAGGGGTGTAAATGGAAGTGGTTTCTGGTCGACTAAAGGATGCCAAGTAGACGAAACTACCTCGAATGAGACTCACTCCACATGCAAATGTAATCATCTCACCAATTTTGCAGTGTTGATGCAGGTTCAGTCGGATTCAGACTTAGAGGTAGTGATGGTGAAGAAGTTATTTTATCTTCGATAGCTTGTTATCTCGAGGCGACGATGTGGATAATCAAGACAGAAACATTAAACACGAACACATCTCAACATTGAGACGCTTCCATTGTAACTATCCATGAACGAAAACTTCTTTCTTGTTCGGTGTTGCGTTCACGTGACCCTTATTTTATGGGTCTACAGGATATTATCCATTTTGCCATGAGAAAGGTGTTCCTCACGTGATACAGTAGCCCATAATAGCAGGCTGAAACTATGAGAGTTGCTCTTCATTTACTGCTTTATCTAACGCCCCTTCTATCTCTGATACATATTGAGGAACATTCATTCCTTTTCAGGTGGATAAGTCCCATAAAATAGCATTGCAGATCATCACTTACGTGGGCTGTGGACTTTCCCTAATTGGCGTCACTCTCACAGTCTTCATAATCGCTGCTTTTTCGTACGTGCCGTTGTCTTTCTTTTTTCCGTTGGCCCGTGTCTGCTTTGAAATCTGCTTCATTCAAAATATTTCTTCAGTGTTAATAATGAAATAATTTTTTAAAGGAAAAATCAGATTAAGACATGTGCTTTGAGTGTGAAATATGAAAGGAAGAATCCATCGCTGTTCTCAATTTATGATCCTTCGTCGTCGTCGTCAGTCATCGCCATTGTTATTGGTTGTCTGAACTCTCTCTTACTCCATTCTTGTTGTCGAATTTCAATTTGCGGGCTCCTGTGTGATCCTGTGCCAGAAGATTGTCGTTCGCGTCTAAAGATATTTAGACCTTCCGAAATATATAGTTTCTTCATTTATTTTTCTTCTGTTCTTCTTTTGTCTCGTGATATTCAAACTAAAAAGCAAAAGGCGTGAGGGAACTTTGATTATTTTCATTACCACAGGGGTCTGCGCTCTGAGAGAAACCTTATTCATTTAAACCTGTCTCTGTCTATTGGTACATTTCAAATAATTTTCCTGGCAGGAATTGAAGCAACTAGCAACGAGGTGGGTTGAATACTCGCATAAAAATACACAATACTTAATGGAGCTTAAATTAATACTTACATAAATGCATCTGTTATTTACAATCGGCTTTTTTATTACTCAAAGCTGACCCTAAATATAACCATAATCTTCTCGCTGAGAAATGAAATTGCCTAGACGTTTATATTTCTCTATTTACAAATTCAATGAATATAAATATGAACTGATTGATGTAATTCTGTTGCAGATCGCCTGCACTGTGGTAGCTGTATTACTTCACTATTTCTTGTTGGTGTCATTTTCGTGGATGTTAGTGGAAGGCGTGTACCTTTACTTAATGGTCATAACTGTCTTTGAAAACAACAAAGAACAACTACGCATTTTCGGAGCATGCTCATATGGTAGGTAAGCTCTATATTTATGGCATTCAGCTTCCCATCAGTCAGACATTCACTAGGCAAAAAATTGACTCCTTGCTGTTCACTGATCATTAAATGTTATCAGAAGATCTGACGTTTTTATTTTATCTACTAGGTCTGCCAGGAATAATAGTTCTTATTTCAGCAATTGTGGCGCATGATGGTTACGGCACAGATTTAAGGTAATTTATACGGTTCATTACCTTTTTCTGCTCTCGTTAGAAAATAAATATATGCAATAAAAGAATTGTCGGAACTTTACTTGTGAAGAATGAGTGGTACGGTATGATGCAGCGTTTTGTCTCGGCCAATAGGTACATTTGAAAGCTTGTCTTATTCTAGTGTAAGTGACCCCGTTGAGCATTGTTTTCAAAGCCTCGTCTACAGTTCAAACGTTAGTAGTAGTGTGTCCTTTTATCGCAAAAATATTACCAAATGAAAAAAAGTGGTTGTCGATACTTGAACATGATGTAAAAAGATGGCAACGAAACAATCTGGATGCTTTGTTCCATCATTTTGTTAAATGATCATATATCCTCAATGTTCTTAGCTGTTGGCTGTCTACGGCGAAAGGCGTCATATACGCCTTTGTGGGACCAGCACTGGCAATAATCTTGGTGAGTAGGATAGCTGAATTATTCCACTTAGAGATGTGTGGTCACTTAGAAAGCTAAAGCTGCTTTGCCTCTTAGTATTTCTCTTCACAAGCTAGGCGTGAGGAACGACAGAAGATTCGCCATGTTGAGTTATCTCAACTCTGTCGAACCAAATTGTTAGCCAGCTACCTTTTTAATTTCCACAGAGAATTCTTTTCGTAAGACGATAAACTATAACATTCCATGGCCATTTCGCTTTCAGGTGAACGCCGTAATCCTTATCATGGTGATAAGAGAGATCATCAAGGTACAAACAAATGGAGTCTCTCACTCGACAAAATTTGATCTTATCAAGTAAGCAACCTAAGTTTTTCACCATCATTCATAATTGATGCCATAGTGAAACGTCTTTTCTTACCCAGACAATTCATTGCCGCAATGATCGATTATTATTAATTAATTCCTTCCATATTGACATCATCAGATCTGGTTTCAAGTCAACGGTCGTTCTTTTTCCTTTACTGGGTGTAACCTGGTTGTTTGGTATTTTGGCGTTGGACAGGAACACGATAGCGTTTCAGTACCTCTTTGCTCTTTGTAATTCACTGCAAGGTTTCTTCATTTTCGTGTTTCACTGTCTACTTAATTCAGAGGTAAGAAAATGCACTATATATCTTTTATCATTCACTCATGGGGCCACTTACAAAAGAAAACATACGACTAAAGCGGATGGTGTCCAGTGAGAAGAATGAAAAGCAGTTTGTTCAGAAAAAAATCCCAAAAAGGCTAGATACACCGTTTTGATATACTATGCTTTCCGCTTAAGCGGTGAAGATTTAAGTAGAGCGTTCAACTTTAGTTCAAATAGCGGTGAAATGGACGCATATAATTTCCTCTCCACAGAGGATCAGAATAGTTACTTCAATCTATATACATATGTGTACTTAAACTCATACCTGAGGCGTTAAAGATCCCATCTCAGCTCAAAACTCAATCGTTTCTGCTCTTTACCATCCTTTTATCCTTTAGGTTCGCAAGGTTATACAACGGAAGAAAGAAATATGGTCTAGCCGTCGAACAACCCTCTTCTCGCCTTCAACGACCACACCCTCTTCTGCCGTTGCAGCGTCAACATCTCACGGAACTACGCTATCGGTAACTGTTCTTATGAAAATATCACTGAAATCAGGGGTGTAGCTATGTTTTTTTTAAGGGGGTAGGACCAGTCAAGGCTTTAAATTTCTGCGCGCAGTTAAAAGGACCGGTTAGTGGAATATCTAGCATTGGCAACATTTTATCTCAGGTAAAGTCTAAGGATGCGCACGTTTTCTCAAACCTCAATTTTAAGATTTTTTCTATGTCGTACACCAAAGGGCATCCTCAGCATAATTTATCATTACTTACTTAATTTTCCTTGATGTGTATTTTAAAGGATGTGAATATGATGTCTGTTTCTGATGATGCCAGCAACAGGAAGCTCGCAACCGGCAGTGGTAATAGCAAATCTAAACTTCTACCTAAAGAAAACGGCAATGATGCTTCTCAAAACGCGAATGACCGAGTACCTGTTTCAACGGATGGCGCAAACAAGGGCCTTTCGATGGAAAACTCATCGCCCGCTTGGCTTTCCAAGACTGAACACGATCCAGGGCCTAAACGAATAAAACTTCCTCCAGTCACGGTTCCAGAAAATGCCAAACGAAAGCAGAAAAGAATCACAAACAAAAACTTAAAACAGGGGAGCAAAGGAAAGCTTAACACAGCGATCGAACCTCTACAAGAGGAGACTTGAATGAGTTCATTAAACTGTACTCTTACAGTTGTAAAATAATTATCCATAACCAGCTGTGGGGCAGAACCTACCCACGAAGGCAACTTTGGTTCGGGAACTGTGAAAAAACTGCCGTAGGACGCTAAGGCAGAACAGATAGTCCTGAACCACGCACACATTTTTCTTTTTACGATCAAGACCGCAGGAATGACATTATCACTCATGTATAGTTTGAATTTTTTCATTTCTACCAATGATGAAATTGTCTACAAACATACTTGAACTTCATCAGCTGACTGTCTGGTTTAGTGCAAAAAAATTGTAACATTCTAATAAACCGCTTCGTTCCATGCATGATGTAAATGGTGCAGTTCAACTCTAAGAGGTATTTATAGCTTGCTGTGAAATAACTCCGCGCCCTCAGCTTTTTCAGGTGGCGTGACTATCAAGGATAAACGCAGCACATTTTCTACAATCAAAAAGCCGGAAAGGCGGGAAAGAGGCCGGTTTTTAACCCAAAGAAGGAAGAGAAATCCGAACCACCTTGGCCAAATGTTGAGTGCAAGGAAGGTTCAGTAGCATTTTATTGAAAAAGCCCTCGCAGTAAGGCTCGCTCCATTAACGTTTTCATGGTCTGCTGGAGGTACCCAGAAGGACCTGATGTAGCCTTCAAAGGTTTTCTATCTGACAGGCGGTCAAAAGACTAAGCTCGGATTTCGAAACCCCAATTAATAACATTGTTTGGAAGAGATGGATTTCTAACATAATCTAAAAATTCCACATATCCTTGTCTGGGTGCTTAAAAAATTAAAATTAAATGCACACCAAGGTCAACCAATCGCTCTGCCCGAAACGTCAGCTTTTAAACTCTTGAACGGTGGCCAATTTACGTTATCAACTTGGTTGATAATACTAAATTACCAAGTGAATCAAAGTACTGGCAATGCCACTTCGAAATTCATAGTGAAGGACTCGTCGTCGCCTCTCTGGCAACAGGCACCGCACGTCCGAATGATGCCAAAAACATTTTAGTTCCCGCTGAATATATTTTATCTTAAAAGAAATCGGGTTGATATGGATAAAAGGTTTGTCTCTTGTGGGTAACCTTAATAGCAAAAACAATTTTTGACCCAAAGACAGTGACCGATTCTGTTGTGCTTAGTTTAATGGCTTTGTCTGTGTGTTCATGGAATGTCAAGACAAGGATTTGCACCTTAAAACCGGCTATTATTTTTATTAATGTATTTGCTCACTGACTCCAAAGTTACCATTGAAGGATTTAAAAAAGCGCTTTGTTTCCTTCAACACAATGAACAAAACGACTAATTACCATGGCAAAATTCAATGTGAAGGTGATAACTAGTAGCAAGTCACCCATGGGAGTTTGGTTTTCTGTGGTCTCAAGGCGCTTTTTCTGACTGGTTCCTAATGACTACCTCGATTTGAATCAAATCCAAAACAACCTTTGGAGAGTTTAGAGCAAATGTACGTCCATTTTAGTTTTTGAATCATTCTTTAAGTCAGCGTCATGACTTAAGAGGCATCACAAATGATCAAAAACCTGAACTGCGTTGACCAATCATCACCGCGACATTCAGGTAACTTTGACTTATTCAATTAACATCAAAGTCATGCTTCATGTTCTTTATTCTAGGCTGTTTTCTAAGGCATGCTTTTATAGACACACTGTGACTCGATTGTGAAATTATCCTTTACGTCAGAGACTAACTCCTCTCTCTTTATAGTCATTATGTAGACCTCTTGTCGCTAATTTCAGTTAACATAGAAGTCTAGCAAACCACACTTATTTCACGATCTCTGTGTCACACTTGTGGTCTTGGCAACTGGTTATGCTATAATGAAAATATGAGATATATGAAGTGTGAAAACTGAATAAAACAATGGGAACGAAACCGAGGATCAAGAAAGAACAAACAAGAACATGTGTCCTTAATTTTGCCGACATTGGGTTTAGCGGATCAGATATTCAACCAATAACAGTTAAGCTCGTAATGACAACTCGAGAAAGCAGTGCGAGAGATTCGAGAGAAACACGTTTTGTCTTTGAGCACTTGGATGACGCAGTTTCTTAAGGCCCCACGAATTCAAGTTTGAGTACTTCAGCAAATGGCCACTAAGACAACCCAGAGACAATAGTAACGCGAGGGCTGGTGCTCATGTGGTTGCAACAATGCTACACACGTCACTAAAAATGAGTTTTTATTTGGTAGCTTTCTCTGAATCCTTATCGTCCTTATCAAACGTCTGTTTGTTAGTTATCTATAAATTACAGGAAGGCTGGTGACAAAGTAGTACAATACGCCACCACTTGTCAAGGGATTTGTCAATTATCTTCTCATCAAACTTACAATGCAAGGGTCCTTAGTATTCGCTTGAAGAAGATCAGAGCTTTGTTTGAAGGCTTCACCGGTGGTCACAATCCCTTGTCTTCGGCAAGGCGAAAGTCATGCTCTACCAAGTTTAACTCGAACTTAAGAAGTGGCTGCGGATTGATTGAACTTAATGAACCATGGAAACTTTTTCTAATTTTTCTCATTAGAAGTGCGCGTCACCAGCCAAGAATAGAACACTTATTTCATATTTTAACTTATAAGTTTTATTAAGGTATTCTCGCTTTTTTTCGTCATTTTTATTACTTGCTCACTCAATTTTTTTTTTTATAAATAATCGAAACTGTCAACTACTTATGTTGGAGAAACGCATTTTATTAACCGTTAAAGTCCGAGCTTTGTCTATCTGAAGATACATGTGGATGAAGATTCTGAAAGGAACAACATTGGTATTTTTAACCCTTCCCTTACTCTAAGATAAAGACCCACACACCTTTGTTATGTTAATATAAAACTTCTTAATTCAATTTTTCAGACAAAAACTAAAAAAAAAGAAATTGTTATGACATATTTATGTATTTAAGAGATCTTAAAAGATTAATCTTCATCAGTCTATTGATAAACAATGCCCTTCATAAGTTTACTACTGGGCTGCTTTGTAATAAGCGTGGTGGGGGCCATTCATTGAATGTTCTCGGATTATTTCCAAGTGATCATGTCTAAAATAGAATCCTAATTTAGACATTTCCTAAATACCTTTAATGACGGGAAGTTTGAGCTAAAAAATGTGTTTTCCAACGTTTGCGCAAAGAAACCATAATAGCGGCTAGTCAGGTGATGTTTAATTCTTTGATGAGGCTGGCATTTTGAAGACAAGGAAAAATCAAATAGATAATATCAGCTGTGATTTGAATGTACTGATTGTATTCTTACATTGATGGTTTGTTTTATGCTTTCTTTAGTGTTCTTTGTGTTTATTTTCTCTCCTGTGCATCAAAAATAGGCCAAAGCAGAATTGCTTGATAAAGATGGCGAGAAGACCTGTTATTCAAGCTCTAGTGCTGTCGTTTTTATTAGGTAAGTTTACTTTAAAGTTCCATATACGTGGTACATTCACACACAACCACACAAAAATTGCGATTGAATTCTGATTTTAAATTCTGCCCTTACATAACCAAATGGAAAGGAAAAGCATTACCCTTGTGAATTTACTGAGCTACTTGTTCGCATAAGTTTAGAATTTACTTCTGGGGGTTATGTTTTACATCTTATCTGTTATTATTACATTTGATTCATTATTTTATGGTCTCCTGCTAACTACTATCATCTTTTCTTGGGAGAGTTATGAGAAAATAAGCATAAAATGGATGAAATTTTGCTATTCCAATCATGACTCAGCGACTACTTGAATTGTTTTCAGTTTTTTTTTCCTGTTAGGATTATGTCAAAATCTGTTTGATTTACGCACATTGCAAAAAATCTGCTCACAACAAAAGGCAACCCCTGCTGTTTCAGAAGGGGGTTGTTCAAGTAAACTGCAAGACGGACAATAGCGTGATTGTATATTTGTGAACCCTCAGTTAGAGCTCGAGCATCAAGGTTAGCTGACTTTAGGGTTGTCGATGTCAATGTTTTGAAAACTGTGCTCGAAAAATAGATAAATAAATAAATATGAAGGAGTCTCCACTGAATTTTTCTTTCTTTGGATTTTATTGATATCTAACGGATCAATCAATGATCAAAACGCCGTGTTACTTTTTTTCAAATTCTCAATTGCTGAATTACTTAACCAGTTCACGCTCAGTACATTTGTTTGTCATTGGGACTGTTTAGAAATCAGTTGTAATGCACTGTCTAGAGTAAACAGCAATGATGACAAATTAAACACGTATACCGCATATGTCATATTAACGATGGCTTGGATTTTTAAATGACAATGATGTCCAGAAGGTCAAGTTCTCTGTTACACTAGAATGGCCGTGAATAGCCTTATTGAAACCAAAATAGAAATAATTGGTGGAAATTATGAAAAAAAAAAAATCGTATCCTACTCTTTGCAGAACATGTCAGCTGCCTGAAGTGCTCATCAAACTACCCTCCATATTTTACCGGTTACTACATGGAAGCCAGGGACTGCCCGGGAGCCACCTTAAGAAATTCAACCCTTAACGATCAGAAGCTGGTTTGCTGTATCTTGGATACTACACTTGTCCCATCAGTCCCACAAAATATCAATGTGTCTTTTGAAGCGTATCTTAACTTGGTTGGAGAGACCACAAGGACAAGAGCATTGTATCCGTTTTACATGGAAGCGTTGAATATTGCTAACATGTCAAGTAAACATAAAATAGCAGCCTTCACTGCTCAAGTATGTTAAATGGAAACAAACAGAACATTAGAGAATTCTCTTGGATCTTGCGCTTATTTCTTCTGGCTCAAAAAAATTGAATACATGAGTTCCAAAACCCTTCACGCTAACTCCTTGAAGAAATTTATTGTTGTCGATATCCACAGTGTAGGATGTCTCCTGTTTTATGGGTATCGTCGAATGGCATGCCATCAGTACAATGTAGCGAGATAGTTCAATGTAGAGTTTGAAGGTGCATCTCTTTATAAATGACGTTTGCGTTGCCCATTTTTTGCCGACGTTGACCTGACGCATTTCTTGTTCTTGATCTTACCTAGATATTGTATCAAACATCAGGAATGCTATATTCAGAGGAAAATTCCGATGGAGAGAAGTATAAAGGAAAAGAAAGCTTGGGAAATACCAGAGCATCTGATGCCCGCAAATACATAAGTAGAGGATTCCTTCCTCTGATAGGAAAACACATGTATCAACTTGTGAAAACTTCACTCGATATAGAAATCACACGTAAGTTCGAAAAAAATGCTGTTGAAGCCAATAAGTTTATTTATTGATACCAATGAAGTGTACTGCAGTGTATTGTAAGTCTAATTTCAGGTTATAATATTCCCCATATTTCTCTACAGAAAAGCCAGAAATGGTTGCGTTGCCATCTGTTGGATTTAGGGTCGCGGCATGGCTTTGGTTGAATGGTTATAGCTCAGCTGATAACAGCAGCTTGCCCACCGGAGATTTAAGAAAACTCTACAATGGAACTGAATACAGCTTTGCGGAGTTATCCATGAAAATTCAGGAAAGTAACAATGGGATTGAAAGTCTATTTAGATATTGGAGGCATGCGCTCAAGGTAAGATTACGATTAAATGTGTCAACCGCTCATGCTGTTTGGAGGCATGCGCTCAAGGTAAGATTACGATTAAATGTGTCAACCGCTCATGCTGTTTTAAGTTGTATTTCTGCCACAAAAACCTTTTCTACTGCTCTCCTCCCATTTATAGGTACTTGATATTCCATGTCCACCGGAAGGGAACGGACCAAGATGTTCAGTGGACAACAGAAATGGCCGTTGCAAATTAGTAAAAAGCTGTAAGGGTGAATATTCTGCAAGTGGTTGTCTTACACAGTCGCCTATCACCTGCTGTCTTGGTAATGATGATTTACATAATTTTATAGCCATATTATAGCAATATTGATATCAAGTGATATACCTCTCGTGCATCGAGAATGCGCCACAACGTAATGCCATCTTGCATGTCTTTAGGCCCTCAATACCGCTTTGTTTTTGGGAGAAAATACTAGAACTACATAGAGGAAGAGAGGTAATCTTTTCCTCAAGGCACATAAATTACGTGCACGGCAATGACCTTATTCTCCCATCCCCTCAGTAATTTGTTAGTCAAGTTTCATTGAATTCAAGAGACCTTTAAGTAAAAAATCTTCTCTTTGAATCAGGATACAAGCATTATTTTTATGGCCCCGATCCTTAGTGTATAGCTGTACTCGACTGAGTGTGCTTTAAAATATATGTTCATGTCAGAAACAGAGAGGAAGGAAGCATAGAATCTAAAAACTCTCCAATTTTGTATAATTTTCTTCTTTTCTCTTAGATTGTCAAAATGCAATCGATTTGGTGTTTGTATTGGATTCTTCTGGTAGCGTCAAACCCACAAATTTTCAAATTGGACTCCAGTTTATCATAAAGGTGTGCCAGTATTTCGACATCTCTTACCCTCTTGGCACTCGAGTGGCTGTTATCACATACACCAACTCTCCAACGATAATATTTCACTTTAACACCTTCAACAGAAAGCAAGACGTCCTTAATGCAATAGCAGCGATACAATATCAAGGTAATGGCACACGCACTGACTTAGCACTCTCAGAAGCCTACACAAAGCTGTTTGAAAACCCTGAAAATGGTGTGAGACCCAAAGAATTAGGTGTGCCAAGAGTGCTTGTTCTTCTCACCGACGGAAAAACTACCTCAGGAACGGACAGCATCATCCAGCCCTCTAACTTACTCCGAAATGAAGGAGTTAACATCTTTGTGATAGGGATCGGCCTAAGTATAAACAAGGATGAGTTAGACATTATTGCTAGTGATCCTGACTCTGATCATGTGATTCTTCCCAAGTCCTTTGAAGAGATAAACACTTTGGTAGAAAACATTCAAGAAGCCTCATGCTACGGTGATTCATTTTTATTTACGCTATAATAGTACACAGCATGTTGTGGAGCATGTTAAGTGCAGTAAACAGCTTTTTAGAAAAAGGAAAAAAAGCGTAAAAGTGAACACGATTATCCCGAAAGTTATTTGGGTAGTTTTCAGGTCACAGTTCCTGGACCTCAGGATTTCAAGGAAATTTGGGAAAATGTTGCTGTAACAACGAGGCATCTTAGGTTTGCTTAATTTATTTATCGATATGTGTTAAAAGTCATCGATTACTGGATAGCCAATTTATCTTTCAAGATTGCCGCTTGCACTTTTGCCCTCATTTCCAACAACCTCTCTCGTAACAGCTGTAAACTGCTCTATCCTGAACTGTGTAATGCTTCATAAATTCCTCGCGTTTCCTGTTCCGTGAGTTGTGCATTACAAACAGGATATCCCTGAAATATTTACGACGTAATTATATCTCAGTTTCAGGTATTCTTTCATATTAATTCCTTCATTTAGAACTTAGAAGTAACAGCATTGTCAAACACTTCAGATCACTAGCATTTCTCATTTCCAATCATTTTATTTTTTACTTTTCATGATCAGAGCCCGCATTGCTCGATGAAGGAAAAGAAGTTGGTTCAAGTGTAAACGAAAATGCAGTAAGATATTTCAAATACGACTTATTCAACAAGACGAGAATCAAAACCCTATTTCTAAAGACAACACTTGGTCAAGCCGATATTGCGGTTTCAACAAGCAACAGGAATCCCCGAAACAATCGCATTAACCTGGGATCGTGTGAACCGCATGAAGACAATAAACTTTCCGATATAAGTAGACTCTGGAAATTAGAAGAGCTTCAAAAAGACACCTTTTGTAATGCTACCTCTGACGGAGGATGTACCAAGCCTCGTTTTGTTTCAAAGGATGAGTTCATTGAAGAAGGAATGGTCATTTATGTGAAGATGTGCTCCACCAGATGGTTTTATGTTTCGTTAGAAGGAATCAATAAGACTAATACGTTCAATTTAACGCTGTTCAAGGATCTTATTAGGACAAAGGAAAAATTGGTAAATCACTTTTGATTTCCTCTTTCAAATTTCAGCCACCTCTTGGTATCATTTCTTTAAACGCATGAACAGCGAAACCTATGGAGGCCATGCCTAACCTCTGAGTAATTCAGTTATTGCCATACGTGATCTCACTCTCATCAACTTAAGTATTGCCTACGTGTGTCGAGATTATAAACAGTTGCTAATCTCTTGCATATGTGCGTTTCTCTGTTTCCTGATTTTTTCTTTTTGTTCATTTGATTTGTCCAATCAGAACATCACAGTAGACACTTCAAGAAATGACACTACTTTCCCCATTCCCAAGGGGGTCTACGCAGGAGCAGCTGCAGCAGCCGTAGGAACAGCAGCGACAGTAGCTGCCGTTGTCACATTGTCGTAAGTACTTAGTGGTTGAGAAAAATTGTTTCTTCCAAGAACTCAAACTAATCATCTGGTCAAAGGTCGAACGCCGTCCTCTAGATTCGAAGGCAAAATAAGCCTCATGAAAGGGTACTCACAATTGAAATGAGGATGATTCTGTATGGCGAGTCATTGTACATTGATTAAGGATACTTTTTATTGCAGATGCGCAAAGGAATTTGAAGTCAAAAGTTCAGCCAAAATCAAAAAGAAAAAAAGGAAAGAATGCGAGACAGCGACAGACAGAAATTGTAATTCAACCGTTAACCAAGGGTTTCAAGAAGATGACGAAATACAGCCAAACACCAAAAATCGGTCCAGTCTTACTCCTTTAATGGAAATTGATGATCTACAAAGTAATTCATGTAGAGGATCCACAAAGAAAGAAACAGATGCTGAAGTAACAAAATCAAAGAAATTCAAACGCGGTAATTTTCACAGCACAGGACAAGGAAAAAGCTGCGTTGTCGAAGTGCGAGAAGAACAAATGATACAACAGAATTCGTCATGCTTAAACGAAGATCCGCGCACGCGTAAAGTCAGTTTGGTTTCTTCCATGATTTATGATTTACAAAGGAAAGACACATTTACAGAGACAACAGAGACATCAACATTTCAGAGAAGAGGCACTTCCCAACAATGGGATAAATCGCGATTGGAAAGACAAGTTACGAGTACGAACGTTTCAGTGTCCGTGTTCCAATCAAAATTTAAAGAGGGAAAGATATCATATGGCCAAGACAAGGTCAGAAAAATGGGTTTAGATACGATGAAACGAAACTGTGACTTATTATTAACAGGTATAGGCGATACAAGAAATGCCAAAGCCAAGCAAACGGATTCTGTTGCACAAAATAAGTTTAAAGACAAAAGTAAATGTTCGGATGATGACCCTAAAATTGATATCAATGGAGTTACCGCTGATGACGGCTCAGTGCAACATTCGAAAAAGTCAAAACTTATCCAAGAAATGGACACAGAGACAGGAACAACCTGTTGTTTTCAGTGGCTACCGTCATTATCACACAACAAAGTAAAGAAGTCCACTGAGGCTGAAGACCTTTCCGAATTGGAAAAAAATGAAAGACGAGAAACGACGAAAGATGAAACTGGAGAGCATATTCGGAACGGCGAGAAAGAAAAAGTCAGTCTCTTGTCCCGGTTAAATTCAAAACTTACTAAGCGTAAAATCTTGGCGGTTATGTGTCCTTGTTTTACTTATCTCATACTAAAAGGTGAAAGTAAGGAAAAAGTAGCAAACGGCGAAATGAGGCAGGATGATATGCATCGCCAAGAAATGAGGTAAAGAAAAATATTGTTGAATTTTTAAAAAGGAGGATGATGTGACGTGATTTATTCAATTATCAGTTTTATCCAATCATTTGCTCGGTGCATGTGATCATTCCCAGATCCCACGACAGAGTTTGCACTGTTTACTGTAAAAAAAAAGAAACCTACTGAACTTAAACAGTATTACCCCGCGTATTTTCTCTTCTAGCTTATGATCAATCTCATAGAAAATATTTGGTTTTTCAGCTCCAGGTTTATTATTTTTTGCTATACCTAAGTAATTTGAAAAGGAAGCCAACCCACAACACATTTACTTTACAGTTTGGTACTTTCATGAAATACATTGTATATATTCTCATAACTGAATTTAAAATACAAAGTTCCTTTTTTACCCGAAGGGACAGTCGTTTTGAGCGGGATATGCAGATGAGTCAGACGTTTTGCGTATTATTATCACAACTTTTATTTATACTTGGAGCTGATGCCAGAGACGACAAGGTACGTTTTTGCTTTAGTAAACAACATAGTCTCTTCGCAGTTTTCTACACCTTATTCGATAGTTAAACATATAATAAGGGTGGATATTTTGCGAGCTGAGTTGCGTAGTATTTTTCCGAGCCCCGTGGGGCCGCGGAAAATTGCGAGCAATGAGCCAAATGTGACAGAACATCCTTTTTGGATGGAATAGTGTTTCCAAAGATAATAGAGTTTGGCTCGCCAATTGACAATTCATTTTGATGAGCTTCGGGTTTTTGTCTCCGTCTTAAACAATCATTTATTTTTTCTAATGTTTGAGATGGTTAGTCCTTAATTTTTCAAATTCAGATATTTTTCAATCACACCAAAAGTCCAACTTTCTAAATGACCCTTGCTGTTTACAGATTACTTGTGCGGTTGTGGCCATCACCATGAACTACCTTTCTCTTGTGACTCTTTGTTGGCTAATTGTTCAAGCTCTCTACCTATTCAACTTTACAAGAGCACGTGAAAGCGAAGAAAAACAGCACATGAAAAAAAAACTCTATTTCGGAGGAGCATGGGGTGAGTGAAAGTAGCAGAAAATGACACAGTGAGATATGTGCGTGTTAAATAAGATGTGGCAAATCTAACACGATGAAAAGCTGCTGGAAGCTACCCAAATTATTTAAGATACATCTTGGAAATCCGTCTTGTCACTTGCCAATATGGTGCCGATTTTGTCTTTAGCTGTAGTTATGGGTTTTGGTGGAGGCGCTGTTAGTCGGTCGGTTATAGTTGTGGTTATAACTGCGGTTGATTAAAAAGGGGGTGGTTGTGGTAAACTCTTGATGTTGGTGCTACTGCAGCAGTAAATCGGTTGATGATTTCAATGGGCCCTATTTCAACCGTTACCGTTTACTGCTGTAGCTGCAGTGCCGTGTCATGGTTGTCATATGTGGTTTTTGTTGGTGATAGTTCTCAGATATTGCCCTTGATTTTTATTTTTTTTCTAGATTGTTGTAACACAAATCTACTTCTAAAGGAGTTTCCTCGGAAAACGCCTGCTAACGCTTAAGAACCTTCATTTTTGTTTCAGGTTTGCCACTTTTTGCTGTATTTTTTCTTGCCTCCAAGTACGAGACATACAGCAAGCACCCACAGTGAGTGATCTGTCAGTTAACTCAAGAGCTACTCGTCCTGTGACCATAATCTTTGCTTCTCCTATTTCTTTATCCTTTGTTAGAAAGCTAGTACAAAAATTGGGGAATATCATTAAAATAGCAGTAACATAATATGATTATTCTTCAATGGGCCCGCACCATTTTTCATTGCGTTACGTTCCTCTTTCTTTTTCAGTTGTTGGATTTCATTCGCTGATACTGTAAGCTGGTCAGTAGCGACGCCCATAATTACGTTAGGAATGGTGAGTGTAGAACCTCATAAGGAAGCCATTACGGATATTGGACTTCATTTTTTCTTCTTCTTTTACCTTGATTTCTATACAACTTCAAATTGTACCGGTAAGAAATCGACAATCCCATAATATTGTGTTGATAGCAAATATGACTCTGCCTGTGTTTTTTTGGTGGGGGGGAGGGTTAAAGTCACTATATTGCATACTCTTCTCGTATCGGCGGTCATTATGCAATTTACGTAATGATTCACGCATCTTGGAACAGGCTACTGATGGCGAATACTTATCTCTATGACGTAACTAACAATGCTGAGAACGTATGGCTATTCAAGCAGAGAGTGAGCAGGAAACGTATCGTATAATGAACTTTTGAATTGTCGTGGAATGTCGAATGACCTCAAGATAACCTGCACGGCATATCTTAAGAATTAAATAAGATAGATTCACAGAAAAAAGTCTTATTTTATACTAAGATCAACCTAAGCAAATAGAACAATATTAAGGAAGAGAACCTTCGATTTATGCAGACCAAGAGAGGTGGCAAAGATATCCTTTTTCGTGAGAGTTTTGATGTGACATTAGACTTCGAAAATTGGATGATCATTAGAGCAAGATCTCTTAGCAAAGGATAATTTGCCCTCTGGTTTGAACCAATATAAACGTCAAACTCTCAAAGATAAAACTCATAGACATGTTATTTCCCTTTTCAGGTACAAGTCATACTAATAATCTTATTGGCTAGAGCTTTAGTCACCTATCGTAAGTCCGATAAAACGGAGGAAAATGAGTACAAGAAAAGCATAATCAAGTGAGGCTTTTCAGAAATATTTCACAAGTATTTGATTACCTTGACAATCCTGTGCTATATATATTTCCTAGTGGAAACCAGTCGTTGATGTTAACTATCATCTGTTAACCTGTTTAGTGTAGAAAGGCATCCAGAAACCAATCAATATGTCCAACTAATATTCTCATTTGTGACAAAACTTGAGCAAATCTTCAAACAGCTTTTACCTTATCGTTACTCATCCATTGCACACTTATTAAAAGCAATACTGTACATTTGACATCTTCAACAGGTCTGGAATTCAAACTGTGGTTTGCATAACCATCTCAGTTGTTCTAACTTGGCTTCTGGGGTCATTGTCTTTGAACATCGATCGAGATGTCTATCACACCTTTTTCTCCATATTCAACGCAATGCAGGTAAGAGATTTGTACACACGAAAAATTAAATACTTGCCAATTTTTGATGAACGTAAGCCGGATGTTTCATTCAAACATCCTAAACAAAGTAGTTCACACAGGCTTATTGCGGCCACACGCCGAGTCTCATTACTGATGTAAATTTAGTATCACAAATCGTAAAGGTTATTTTACTGCTGTATTCTTTTGTTATGAAATGGTAAGCAGAACATGACACAATTAGTTGAAAGCTTACTCAAAAGGCGAGCTTCATAATAAGAGGAAAAAAAATGTGACTCAGATGCCAAAATTATTTAAAGGACACTTCCTATCTGTTCTGTCCACAGGGAGTTGCTTTCTTCCTGTTTTACGTTCTCTTAAATGCAGAAGTCCGCCAACTAATACTTTCTGCTTGGGAATGGAAGAACTCTTCTGCAGTAACGCCATTTGATGATCATGAGGCCATTGAAATCGAAGAAGAAAAGGTATGTTGTAAGCATGTGGTGCGACTGAGTTGTTTTCATCGTTGAATTTGAAACCTGGTGGTTCCATGCAGACTGATTCACTCACTCTTCCATGGAACTGTGTCTTTTTTTTTAACACAGGAAAAAGATAAAAAGAAAGGAAAAAACAAACCAGCGGGCAAAGAAAACAGTGCCCAAGACGGAAAACAAAAGAGACTGGAGAACAAACCAAATGAGGCTGCTATGAGTACCATACAGATGGTGACCGAAGCAGCCTCCGAGAGTAAAAGTAAGAACAAAGGAAATTCTTCGGATACCAAGCCAGATGTTCAGGGTAAAACACGAAAATATGAGGGTATGGTTTGTGTAACTGTTGAGAGATCACCAAGAAAGTTGCCCCCTATAGAGCCAAACAAGAAGACCACTACGACGTCAAAAGCGACAGAGCCAAAACGAAAGGAAGCACCCAAAGCAACCCCAAAGGTAAGAAGCGTATCTCCTATTCGTTTTGGCCTATACGTGTTTTAGGGTAACCTAATTTACGGCATAGGAGTCAGTTGTTATTTTCATTTCAGTGATTCACTTATTTTCATCAAAAACAAACTGCTAGAGAAGTCCGGCTTCAAAACGTGTCAGTTACGTTGTTTCCTTTTCCTGCCTCTTTCCACGCGGAGTGTAAATGGATATCGATACACCGCTATGAAAACCTGACGCAATTGTTAGGGTGGAGTAGTATTCCATTTCTATAAGTAAACATACTGCCAGTGAATCCATGGTCTGGAAATCGGGGCAGGCTCCTTTGGCTTGGTTTGGGTTGGTCACGCGACTCACCTGCAAAAACTTGATAAGCTTAGTCAACTTTTTATCTTGAATGGGTATCCAAACACTTGATTCTCTGTGCTCTTTTCCCCTCGAAGAAATTCGTTGAAGATCCAGTGCCTAAACAAAAGATGGCAGATGCTCCCACTTCACCGAAAAATAAAAATCCACGTCCATCATCACTGTCTGCTCAGTCATCACGGACACCGGCTGGGAAAAAACGTGGAGTGAAGTTTGAAATGAAAGATGATCTTCCCGTCGCAGGTGAGGTATATCTGGCAAAACATTAAATATCCTTCCGTCTTTCGCTATTTCTACGAAAAACGAGCATAACTATTATATGCCTACAGACAACGGACATTCAAACCTGCTGATAGGATAGGTGACTGGGACGAATGTTTACTTTTCATGTTTTATGCATTTTGCGAGAAAAATATTCCCGATACTAGGAGCTTAGATCTTTTCGTTGATGCCCTTTTATCTCTTTTTGACCTTCCACCTTCCCGCGTGACACCGATCCAGTCTGCAGTGTCTCTTTCATCATCACGATGCTTTACTCGCGGTAATGCTACCTTTTTCTAGAAGTAAGAAGAGTGCAAGTGATGACAAAAAAAATTCAATCACATTTCTTTTCCTGAGTTGTTGGTTTATGGTTTTTATCGTTTTCATTTAAATACTCACCATACAACAGATAGTATGGCTCTAAATCGCATGCAACAGAAATCGTGCACTATGCATACACATCTTTACCCAAGTATTTAGAAACAATCGTTTTAGTCATCAAAGCTATCGCCAACTGAGAAAATACCCTTCGTAGATTTTATTTCTTTCCTTCGTCGAACAAAATTTTCCATTTTTAATCTCGTGTTTATTTAGGTTATTGGTTTTCTTTTGTTACAATTTCTCTTTAACCAAATAGCGTCGGAAAGTTGAAAAAGGTTCTTTCCCATGTTTGCAGATCAATAGTGTTTAAAAAAAATTTGGTCAGCAATTTCATTTTTGAACATCTTTAACGAGGACATCTCTCTTTTGCTTCTTGATTGCCTTTCATTTACACTACTATGGCTGTCAGAAATGATCTATGTTTTTAAATTACACTGCTAGAACTCTGAATATATGAATTATTTTACCTAAGAAGTGCGATAGTTGAAATAAATGACTATAAAATGCATCTGAACGAAACTGTTGCTATAGGATATGCTTTTTTGCTGTTGTTTTTTTTTTGTAGTTGTCCCATGTCGGAAATGAGGACGTAAGTCAGTGGCCATAGTGCTCTGAATGACATAGCATCTGATTTTTTTGTAAGCATTTTTTAGCGCTTTATTAAAACTGAGATGGTCCTTTGCAGTGAGTAAAAAAAACACCCCATACTTATATATGCAGTTGATTACCTGCACAGAATAGTCAACTATTATAATTTTTTTATTCATTCACTATCGTCCTTCTTTAGTAGGATTCATCTCCCCACCATCCAGCTCTAAAACCAGGCCATTGCAACCAGCACACAGCCCCATCACCACTCAGAAAGGCCAAAAGCAAATGGGAAAGAAAAGAACAACAAAAGGGAAAAAATCTGTGTAGCACTTATACTTCATACCTTGTGCTGATAAGCCAGGGGCAAGTACACGGAAGCTGCATGGCCAGTTAGTATGGAAACTGAGAATTCAACCAACGGCGCAGAATAGCACTTAAAAAAAATGGAGATTTGGTTCCAAGAGAGATTGGTACACACATGTAAACATTAGTGAAACCTTTAAGAGAAACAAAGTAAGAATGAAAAAAGTTTCAATCCAAAATATGAAAACCTAACGGCTCCAACCGTAGCTGGATAATGGATAAACCGCGAGATTAGGAGGCTAAAGAAATGTCTGTCCATCTTGGGCGAGTATTGACAATTTCACCAAGCTATTTTTTTTTGGCTAAGCCATGCTGCTTCCTGTAATTAAGCTCGATTATGTGTTTTGATGTGGACGAAAACAGCACGGAATCCTCCTTGCATCGCATTTTGGAAGAAGAGAACCAAAGATCAAGATTATTTTTTCTGTAATGAACGAAGAGGTTCACAAAGAATGGCAATTCTGCAGCACTTTTAGTAAACAGGGCAAGATCCCAAATGCGAGCGAAATAGAATTGTCGATCTTGATGAATAAAGACATGCACTGCTTTTTGTTGGTTCAACATTGAATGAAACGGTTAATGGTTTAGGTATTCCAAGAAAATATTGTTATGGGATTTCTGAGCGACATTCAGCACTTTTCATCTATAAAGAATAATCTCCTCACCATTAGCGTATGCTCAAACCCCAAACCCTAACCCCAAATTTAATGTGACTTGAGGCTTTCATTGGACGATAATTTTTATCAAGAGTATATAGGCTAAAGATAAGTATTTTTGGACTTAAATGCAAAGGAAAAAACTCATTAAAGAGTAAAATATAAGTAAAAGTGAATAGTAATGTTTTCCATAGAGTGTCTTCATTGTTATTAAGATTTTTCTCGCATTTTCAGAGTAATGGTCATTAAGAACACAATACAATTAGTGAATTCAGATTTCTTTGGTGCATTTGTCGAGAAGGAAAACATCTTAAGGGGTGATATTTTCATCTCTTCGGCAACGTGCCCTCTCAGTGCATTAGCAAGGGGGTGGGTTATATGTTTTTATGTTAAAAAAAGTAAACAGCAAAAAAACAAAACAAAACAAACAAAAGCAAAGCAAAAATAACAAACAAAACGAAAAAAAAAAACAAACTTTTGAAACCGTATAGAAAATGAAATTCATTCACGTTATGTGCGACTCGAGTTTGGATTAAGCCTGTCACTCTCTTTCTTTCCGTGATATTTCTCAGGTAGACCTCGTTTTTACTTTCCACACCGGTAAAAATCATTTTCGGCACTAACCTCAGCACGAATGTCAACAGCTGCAATTTTTCAGGCTTTCGTGTACCGAATGGAAAGTTGTAATTATAATATCTCTCAAGCTGGATTATCAGCATTGACATATCTCTGAGCTAAACTTGAACAGTTCAAATATCCAAAGTTAAAATTATAAAAAAAAAAACAAAAAAAAAACAAAAAAAAACGATATTTTTGGCGAGGAAAACACCTCCCCTCAAAGCCTGAAATGAAGCACAAAGACCCTAGCCATAAACCATTTATCTCTTACGATTGCGATCGAACTCTCCTGAAAAGCGGGTTTTTTGACGGGATATAACTAATCAATAATGCAGGTCTTTCAAAGATAATATTTGTATTTCTGGGGAAAATATGACATATAATAACCCATTTTTATCTACAGACATTGAAAGTGAAGGATGACACCATGACTTTACCCACGCAATAGATTTACTTTCAAAAACAGAAGTGATCAGTAAACGCAATGTGAAGAAAGTAGACCGAATTTAGCATCTGTCACTTCATTTAAATATCGCAGACGGCGACAAACCTCCCCAATTATTATGCTAAGTGTCAAAATTAAGAAATTCGCGTTTTGTTTTCTGCGGGGTGCCAAATTGTATTTTCGCATTAAACTCGTTCGTATAGTGCTTTGAATTTTTATCTCAAACGTTTTAGAGGAGAACAGGGACCCCTGCGGTAGTTTTAGTTTTTTTTTACTTATCTTTTTTTAATGAAACTTATTTACGTACACACTTCTCCTTCCCCGCACGAAAAGTCATAGCAAATCATGAGCAGGTGTGAAAAGCAGGCTGAGTTAAAATTTTGAAATCCGTTGTGTTACATCAAATTGTCACCCTTCACTTTGATTAAATTCAAATGTATTCTCAAAATTTCCATTACCTGACTTTTCTTGACTGTTTTTTTTCGCGCCGGCTGCTTGATAAAGATCACCAGCCTATAATATTTCCTTTTATATTTTATAAACCAATCAGTACTTTCGTTGCAAATGTCTCAAACGTAAACAAACATGGCGACGTTTCCAGAGAAACAGAACGTAATATATTTCGCGAAACTGACCCATGTTTGTATCGGCAACATCGGTTTGGTGGCTACAACCTCGAGGAAAAGATGAAACAGATATTGTGCAGTTATCATAATAGGTTTTTCCATCGTATAATTCTGGCCTAAGACGTATTTGGCACGAAATTAAGCAGAGGAAATATGGCATGTTACGAGACAGGGCTGACGACAGCTTGTCTTGTTCGCGTGCGAAATAGACATTCTGCAAGAGGAATTTACGTGTCCAGGGAATAGAGATTATGTGCTCTACAACAGATAGATGCTGGGCATCTCCAAGAAACAATCAGCGTCTGAACCAGACATTCCCCCAAGAACAAACACCGACTCAAGGCAGAGCAAACAGAAAAAACCCACGACTGACTCATCCAACAGAATCCGGTTTCTCAGGCAGATTTATTCTGTCGTTATTGGTCTTTATCATAAACCTCATTCTATTCGCATTACTTCTCAGTTTTGTGATTCTCGTGGTTCCAGTGTGTTTTTTCGCGAGGAAACTCATTCTTTATTTCAGTATTCGGCATTATCGCGATGGAAAGCTGAGCAAAATGTCGGCTTCCGAAGCTGTTTGGCTTCAAGCAAGTTGTGTAAATACAGCTCCGATGTCTAATGTTTTCTTTCTTTTTGAAGGAAGAATAACCATCGATGAGCTTGAAAGCTTTGTCAAAAGTAAACTTGTGCATCAAGAAATGCTTCTAGGAAATTTACGATTACTAAAACTAAAACAATCTCCCGTGCCGATCTTGAGTGGATATGGATGGGAAGAAATAGACAATTTAGACGTAAACAATTGTGTTTTTGAATTTAAAGGAAATTCGTCGTCAGATCCTGGAGATTTGAAAGAAATTAAGGAAATATCCAACTTCAGTGGTGGAGAAGAATTATGGAGAGTGGTCTTGTTTCCGAAATTTAATGGGAGCGAAGATACTGGGGTGCTGTTTCAAATGCATGAAAGCATTGCGGATATATTCCCCTTTGTTAGAATTGTACTAGACTCGCTTGATTACAAGACTGTCTTTCTCAAGAGGCACTGCTTCTTCCTCGGACGTTTAGCCTCTTGTTTCTTTGCTAGCTTCACTGGACCACTTGTAATTCTCAAGAGACTACTCATGACAAAGCAGGAAGATTTATGTGGGACTGATCATGAGGGAATGCAACAGAATAGTGCAGACGATACCTTCCAAGTTTATTGGTCTGGACCGATAGATTTTAAATCTGTCAAGCGGATCAAAGATGTTACTCGTACAGAAGGTAATATTATGTGATATGAATTAGTAGGAGAACTGGGAAATCTCCAAGAGGTTATATTCTTTAAAGTAATTGTAGTCAAATATTTCGCTGAAATCAGAACAATTTTTTTCCAATAATAACAGGAAAAAAACAAACACAACATTAGAGAAAGTGATAGTTACAGCGTAATTGGGATTACAAGTTAAACAACCGTTAAAATCAGATGTTAGAGCAACATTTGATGCGCAAAATGCTTGAGCAGTGTTTTATAAATATATGAACTTGTAGAAATGTTCTCCATTTGCTAACATAACTCCAATTAGCTTCTTTTTTTTTCACTCTATTTTTAAAGCAAATTATAAGAGAAGTTCTGTTGAAGTGGTCTCAACATTAAACAATATTGGTTCTGGCAAATGTTGAGTGAATTTTGGAAGCATTGCCTTAATCTATATGGACATATGTGTATTTTTAAAAAGTGCTTGTTCATTACTGTGGTTAGTAAAACACATATGCAACTTGTATTTTGCATCCTGAAGTCTTTAAGAGGGACCAAGGCAAATTTTTTTGCCAGCAGCCCAGCAATCCTATGGGATTCACTTTCTTATTCTGTCCATTAAGCAGTGCTTTCAGTAAGACCTGGTACCCGTGGGAACTCTGGTGGGTATTCTGTTGTAAGTTGAGACCTAAAACACCTTAAGTTTTTCTATAGTTCTTTCAGTTGAATTTCGACTTTATGAACAAGTTTTGATAAAAATGACTGATATTGTCTTATCATATATTCAGCATACATTCAATACATTTCCAGCAAAAAAAAAAAAAAAGATTTTGAGATTCCAAGAACATACTGACTAAAAATTCAGTAACCAGTAACCATATGTCCTTTCAGTGGACTTTTTGAGTGAAACTCAAGAAGCAGGCTTGCATGTCAGCAAATGCAAGATTTTGATCAGTAATAAAATGATCAGTTAAACAATTGTTATAAAGGAGACATATGTTTGAAGATCATCAATGGAAGTTTAACAACAAAACTCTGTTTGAAGCCAGTTTATTTTTGATGGAAATGATGGGATAACAAGAGGGAATTTTTTTTATATTATTCTCTGGTGGGTACTTTACTGAGGTAGCCACCTTCAAATCTGCTCTGCCTTCATATTAAGTAATTTGGTTTTATCAACTGAGTTGATATTGAAAATTGGCCACCCTAAAGAGTTTCTAAAGCTGATGTTTGGGTTAGAGTTAAGTAAGAGGAAAGTGGCTAACACTTGAAACCTCAGGTTTAGAAACTCTTTGTGGTGGTCAATTAATTTATCAAATCACATTATCTTTTAAATTTACCCTCAATGGAGTTAGCACCACATTTTCTTTAGAAACTTTATCCCTTATGTAAAAGTGGTTTGGATCCTTGACTGCTTGCAATACATTAAAATGCATTATAGATGTATTTGAGAAAGGGTTCAGTAAGGGAAAGTGCTTGGCCTTTTATTATGACTGTATGTTCTTGTGAGACATCCTCCTCCCCAATCACACTTCCCAATGTCCATCCTTGGGTTCCCAATCTATATATTGGATTTGAAGTTCACAAAGTTTGATATAGTTGAACCTCTCAGGATAAGACATCCACAAAGCTCTAAAACGATGTCCCCTATTACGGATAGCTTCTCAGTAGTGAACTTTTACTCAACATCTGCCCAAGAAATTGGGAGCTGTTCATCCATTGAAGCAGGGGTTTGCTTGCAAGTCAGTGTTTTTATTTGTAGCTGGTCATTGCTGGAGATTTATTATTTAGGTTATTGGTCAGCTCATCTAACAAGGTTCTTTCAGTGGAAATGTTAAATGTACATTTTGATATTTATTTATTTCATTGATTTTTTAGTTATGATCAAGAATTAAAAAGTTTCACTTTGGTGTTATTTTTTTAATTGATAGATTGATTGATTAAACTTGTTTTATTTGTTCATTTTAATATCTAATATTGAATAAGCAAGATGTAAAATAATTTCTTGGAATTTTTTATTTCAGTTGACATTATTCTGCTTTCATGTGTGGCTGGTGCTATTCGTTCCTTCCTCCAGAAATCAAGAGTTCAATACCCTGATGATGTTCGAGTCTGTATAAGAACTGATGTAAGACCTCAGCATTCCAGACTTGAGCTAGACAACAAATTTTCCATGGCTTTTATCAAACTACCAGTCGGCACAGAAGGTACAGTCCCAATGCTTTGTTCTCTAGAACAAATAGTGTTCACAATGGGTTTTATTTATATTTTAACCAAGGTGAACTCACTAAAATATTGAGAGCTTTCTCTCAAAATGAGGGTTGAGGTTGGGTGTGATTGGAGTTCCCTTCCATAATAGCCTAATAACTGTGATTTATTAATTTGACAGTGGGTGCACTTGTAGCAATGTAACTACTGCTACAAAAGTGGTCTTAACATTTGTGAGTTACTCAATGTTACAATTTTTATGAGACATAATGCTATGTTGTGCTTTTGTCTTGTCTTGAAGATGACTTGCTGAATTTCATTATAGAAAGTGCTTTTTGTGTTGGGGGATCACAAAAAAAAATTGATACTCATGACATCTTTATTGAGATGTCATATAGATATTATTTATTATTATTATTATTTATTATTTATCTTTAGTATCTTTATTATTATTTATTAATGGCTATAGATTAATTAGCTATGTTTTCTTCTTCGAAGGTGCTGTGCCTCGGCTTTGGGAAACCAGACGCAGAGTAGACAAGTTTTCTTTTACTCTTGAAAGCACTATCATGTATGGCTTCATCAAGCTGTGTCTTCTTCTGTTTCCCTTGTCTGTCGTGAGGAGGCTCATTAATTACCTGATAAACAAGGTTTCGTGTACTGTAACCCGAATTCCTGGACCTAACATGCCAGTCTATTTGAATGGCAAAATGACAAAGATGATGGCGTGCTGGACTCCTAGAAAGACCCAGAATGGTTTTTCAGTCTCTATTACAAATCATAGCGGACAGATTTACGTCGGTCTAGTTACTAAACCCTCCCAAATGAATGACCCTTCACTGTTACTGGCAGAGTTTGAGAGAGAGGTGGCCGATTTAGGCAACCACTTGGGTAAAAGAGCATTGCCATCGCATCTGCGTTGGCGTCTTAAAGTGGATCAACAACTGGTTAATGCAGTTAACGAGGAAAGGGAGAGGGAGGCCGCAGAAAATGACTTGGTTTGATTATAAGTGAAATTCAAGGCTGCGTGACAGATTCTTGTAAATTTCACGGCAGTGTACAGTCGGTAGTTTGTTTCTCTGAAAACAATCTAGTCCTCTTAATTATGTTCCTAACGATTCCCCTAAGTGTTTCTCGATCGATGGGTAAACCAGGAAAGGAAAATCTGAAGTTATCGTTACCTCTTCAATGCGTTACATGAAAGGACAAAAAAATTAAAAGAAACGTACACCAAACATTATAAATTATTCACGGCTGTGCTCTAGCAGGGACTAAGCGCCGCAACTGACCAACTTTTGTTGATGGGTGACCTTTACGCATGGCTTTTATGAAAACTTCCAAGAGCTGGGCTCCTTTTTTTTAAAGTTATTTTTTTCTCAGACCACTGTCGTCTTTACTTTCTACTAAGTAGTTTGCCTACTCCTAGAACTGAAACCTCTATGGTATAGTGACCACGCAATATGGAGCTTTGTTTTGTCGGTGCAGTTTAGGAGAAAAACTAGGCTCTAAGCCCTTTACACCTTAATATGAATATCTATTTTCTCAATACCCTTTTCTATACTTTCCTTTGGCACTGACCAAGTTAATTCGTTTACAATTGAAGCTTCTTAGGTTGCCGATCATTTCCTTAATTCCCATGATATTAATGAATGGTTCAACAGTTTTACTGTAAGGAGAAATTAGATGCTGGTCACTCTTAGGGTTTTTGGGGTTGAGCAGAGATTTATCGATTTCAATAATTTTATTCAATTTGGCCTCTGTAGTTTTTTGAAGAGGAAAAAGAACGTTTCGTTATTTTTTACCATAGTTGATTCGTACATATTATACCTCATTAATAAGCCTGATAAGATTATTAATATATAAATATACACAAATGAATGTAAATTATAAAAAAATCTTAATAAGTTCAGACTCAACAAATGTCAGTTAAGAATACAATAAATATATATTGTGTACTATATGTAAAAACGTACAACAAATACAACATCTATGCTTATCCAGAAGGTGATGATCAATTCTTTAAATGCATGATTTCTATGTTATATTCGTGGTTGGACGTTGGCAAAGTTCTAAGGCCCTAGTGTAGTGGAAGAAATTGCCAAAAGTGAGAGAAGTTTTTTATGTCTTTTAATGATTTAGCTGAGGCTGAAGTCAAGCGTCGGATCACTGCAGAGTCCCAGAGTACCAGAGGTTTTATTGACTAAAATTATCCTTGAAGTTATTTTGTGACACTTTTTAGATGTGCTGATACTGGACTAAAGGTAAAAATTGGCCAAAAATTAACTCTCAAAGGGAAAATGTTCGCGAAATTTTCTTCAGCTGAATTCTTTTCATACTGTGTGTTGGACGAGTTACCAAGTCATCTTTCTCTAGTTTTTCGTTTTCAAATGAACGTCTACTTTGCAAGTCAAGGGGTAGGTCTTTTAGGCAGTTCTTAAGAAATTACAGATAGGTCCTTCGCTCTTTGCCACCTTATCGTAAATTAACAATATTGAGATCTGTGCTTCTGCTGTAGTCCAAAAGTTTAGAGATTTAAGTTATATTGCTTTTGGAAGGAACTTAGGACTTGGATGATCGATGTTATGTTGTGTGTGAAATATCATCATCTGAATAGTGATATTATATCATCGATAGGTTTTGCCTGTTTTGGCTTTGGTTCTTAAAAAGCTGATAGCCTTTTGACCCTTGAGATAATATCCGGTTGTTCTGTACCAAGTAAATCAAAGAGAACCTTCAGTCTTGGAATCAAAAACTGTTCAAAACATCGCTTAGAGAAGACAGTTGTTTTCATAATAAATTCTGCAAGTGTCATCCAATTCGACATTGGCGTACTTTTACAGGGAACTTGCTCTTAATTTTGGAAACAAATATGGCTCTGCTTGAAACAGAGGCTGGTTTTGACACTAAATCACGTTGCTCGATGAAAGAACTAGTAAGAGCAGGAGTTCACCAAGTTACGAACTGAAAAGTTAATTACATGTCGAGAAGTTCGTTTGGCACATTCCAGTTAAAATTTTTCCATGTTTCAAATCCATCTGGTGCCTGTACTCTATGAGCCTTTGTGTTGCATAAGCCTACCAGTTCATGTTGTCTTTTCTGTTGAACGGATCAACTGATCAGGAGTATTATTTTCAGCCGGTTCATTGCAATGTAAGATGGTTGACGTACCAGACGTTTCTACACGTTGAGGCAGATTGTGAAATCAAAACGTTTCCGGAGATGCTTGACCAATGCAATTTTGATCCACGCCATTTCAAGAAGTTGTTGAATTAGGTTTCGTAATTACCGATGGTTTAATTAGATTTCATCATTTCTTTGTAATGGTAATGCTGAAACGTTTCCCTTTCTTCTTTAATTGAAAATACTACATGACAATTATTGAGGACAGCGTTTTTGACCCACAAATCTCGGACAATGGAGTCTGAGATGTTTATCTACGACTTTTAGATTGCAGACTGCGTGTATTGAGATCCTTTCCAAATTGAACATCTTGCATGTTCCTTTAATTTTTTTGCATTTGAACATTCAATAATGCAAATTCACACTTATCAAATTCACCTCAAATCCATGTACGGAAAACACAAAAGCTTGTACGTGTTCATTGTTTATCAACAAATCCTGTCTTGGCTCTTAAATACCTATTAAAATGTTACCATCTGACACCATCAAGGATATCTTAATACGATCTTAACACGAGTTTTCAGCACCACACAGTTCTAAATTGAATCCCTGCTAGGTTGAAGGGAAGCAAAATGGCTTTGGCGCCTTGTAATCAGGAAACCAATCTAGACTATCTCCCTTAATGGTCGGACGTTTATTTGTTGTGTAAGTAAACTCAAGGGTCGCATTACAGAAGAGGGAAAGTCATAACAGCACTAAAAGGAAACAAACTAAAAGGCCCCGCCAAACAGATGTCAAAACGGACGAGTCCAAGTCGACTTCAGAAGGAATTATGCTGACCCATTAGTGATTCTCTCGAGAGCTAATCGTTGGGTCGTTTAATCATATGTAGATCATCGTGAGTCTTACTCGGACAAAACCTTCTTGTTTTCTTCGCAAAAATGAATAATGCGACCAACGGGACGGAAGCACCCCAAGCTCAGATGGACTATGTTGTGGAACCACTGGGCCTTCGAATTTTTCGCCTCACGGTGTATGTCATTATATTCTTGTTGGCAACGTTTGGAAACGCTCTCGTAATTTTCGTGGTTTATAAAACACGAGAACTGCATACAGGTAAGTTAATTTCATCTTCACAAAGCACAATTACGCGTACGTTCCTAAGAGGATTACGGATAAAAAGGATAAACTAAGTACCCCGCTGTTGATGGTCCTCTGCTCTTGAGATTTTTCTTCAAAATCTTTTTTCTTGCGTTGCGTTCAAGTCACGAAAGTAGTATGACGAAATAGGGTTCTACAAGTTGGAGTCACTAATACCATAAACACACTGTTCTTTTAATGGTGTTGTCACTTTTTTGCGTGAAACCTCAACATTCGAAACAAGTCTAAACGGCGTCGCGCCTAAATTCATGATTCATTGTCAACAGAGGGTTTATAGATGAATAGCGACGAGCGGCATTGAGATGGTTAGAAGTTTCCTTTGCCATTTTTAAATTCTAAGCCTATTTGTTACGATTTGTGTAAAAGAGTTATTCTAACACAAAGCGAAAAATCCCTAATGTCCTCATGTTTTCGTGTGAAGCAAAGTTTGCAATCAATTTCGGACACGGGTGAAAAGGTGTGCGAGTTTCCTGTCTAAGGGCAAACAAAAGGCAGTTCCACATCTTGATTAAGTACACATAAATATTTCACTTCGAGCAATGCTCCATTAACTGGCGTGAACTCCCTTTTCTCTGTTGACCCATGGCATAATCAGCGTTGCTGCAAAGTTTGCATAACTTCCAAAAGATCACCAACTCCGCTTTAAGCGTGATTTGTCTTCAGTGGATCTATGACGTCTACTCAAGTACAAGCAAACCATTAGAGGCACCTTGAACGCGCTTCAAGTAACAATGATGGTGAACAAACATTACTACAACAGAAAAGAAAAACAGAAAATTGCAGAAACAATTATTATAACAACGGAAGAATTTATTGAAATAAAGCCAAAGGTTTTGAAGAAAAAATGTTATTACTGCGTAAATTATAAATTGTCCAACGAAATATGGTTTTTGTTTCCATCAGTAAACCAGATACCATATTAGAGAAGCAGTATGATTAGGCATTCGGTCTGCCAGCTTTCCGATGAACAAGGAACTTTTTATTAACTTCATAATTACAGAACAAGAGGATATTACGCCATTTTATGTGAATTCCTAGTATTTCCCTTTTTTTTTTTTGCTTTCGTTTCACCGTGCAACAAGCCGATTCCGCTAATTATTGAAGTCATTGGTATTAATAGGACGATCGTATGTCCGTCAGGAAATCATTCACATTGACTTTCGTGACCTTTTATGTTTTTGTACGATTTTTCAAATCACGTCATTTAAAAAACTAGAAATGTAGATTACGGGGGTAAATATTATAAATACCGACAACCAAGATAGGAAAGCGTGAATAATTTATACTCAAATGGTTAGTTGTGGAGGGTTCTCCCCAACTTTCCTTATTCGTGGTTAATATCGGAGTTTTAATAATTACTTACAAAACTCGAGGTCATGTTTTGATACCGAGTAATCCTGAAATATTGCTGTTGTTTTACAATATGGAAACCTGAAGACAATGGATCATGATAAACTTGGTCGTTTTTATTTAAATTTTACTCGAAGTACTTATGAGCTTCCTGAGATTGTGGGTGGCAAGGTAACAGCTTAGCCACGCACAATTCTTCTTAGCTGAGTGTTTTTCCGCTTTGGGTAATCCAAAAAGCATATGTATTTACTTGGCCACCCGCACAAGCTTGACATGTCTCTTGACTGCTTTGTTTAAAAAAAAGAAACTTTTCAAATCGATTGTCTTTTAACTTTTCAAACCACTCGATGGATCTTAATAGCCAACAAGTGGCTGACACTCAAAATTCATCCCCAGGCCTTTACAGTCACTAAACAAAAGATAATTACACAACGTGGGTACGAGGAAAGACTGACAAGTATACTCATCCATAGTTACATACGTTTTACAACAACTTGGCCTACATCAAAGGACTGTCTTTAGGTGTAAATTTACGATAAAAATATTGGGTGAGAGAATTCATAAACAGGTCCTCACCTTTCGAATAGTTCACGGGTTGTCATCTCAAATTGAAGCTGTGTATTTAACTAATTCTCCGTTATTCCACGGGAATTAGTGGATGGTATACTCCTAGATGTTGCTGTAAGCCGGTTGTTGACGGCTCGATAAACGAGATCTTTGACAATCATGTTATTTCTTTTTTCTCTCTCTCTCAAAAAAAATGTCATTAAGTTGTATCTTGCATGCTGAGATGATCGATTCAAACATTTTCACGTTCTCGTCTAACAAAAATAGAAGATGAGAAAGAACCACATCCTGCCTCCTTCTAAAGAGAACATGCTAACGAATGAATTTTGTTTCACAGTAACGGGTTTTCTTATTGCTAATCTTGCCGTGGCGGACCTTGGAGTAGGGATGCTTTGTATTCCATTCACTGTCGTATATTTTGAACTGGATTTTCACTGGCCATTTGGTGCCTTCATGTGTAAACTCCTTCCTGCTCTGATGGCTTGCTTCGTTATGGGATCGGTGGGAACAATGTTGGCAATTTCATTGGGTAAGGAATATATTCAAAGAATACTTTTAGCAGTAACAGATTATTATACTAAAAGTAGATCTCAATCAGTTATATTTCAATTTTAGCTTCGGTGTATTGTTGAGCCGAATATAATCAATTGATTGCCCAGGGTAGGTTCTTAATGGAAGAAATTGTTTCGTTTATTGCTTGCTGATGAATCCCTGAGCTGAGACTGGGAGTTTAGCCTATGGTTTTGACGATATCGGCACTCCTTGGAAGTAGAGACCACAGAATCAAAGAGCACCCTCCGTCTTCTATTGTACTCTGCTTTAGATAATAGTACGTTCTCCAATTGCAGATCGCCATCAATCCATAGTGCATCCATTTGGTATGCGTATCACACGGTATCAAGGCAAGCTGATCATGTTGTTAATATGGCTGATAGCTCTTCTCCCAGCGCTGCCAATGCTGGGAGTTATGACTACTGAACCATATCCAGCAGGCGTCGCCTGTAAAGAGGACTGGCCTATAACCACTGGAATGCCCTACTCTACAATATACCTATTATGCACTTTTGCATTGACTTACGCTATTCCTCTTCCAATTATGATACTTATCTACATCAAAATCGGTGTAAAACTTCGTAAAGCTATCAAAGAGGGGGCTGACAGACCTGGGTTCACCCAGGCTCAAGCTACGAAACGGATCATCAAAATGTTGGCAGCGGTGGTTGTTTGTTACGCGTTGTGTTTCCTTCCTTTCCACACCTTGTATTTCATGATAGACTTCGGGGAATATCAATCCAGGTAGGTTCTGATCAATTTATCGGTTTTACTATACTATTTCGCGCAGATAAGTTTGTTTTCTGATTCAACAGCCACAAACAGGAGATATGATTAGCGGAATATGCAAGCATCGGTTGTCATCTGCGGTCATCATTCATAGAACAGTACAGATAATAAGAGTTGTGGAAAAAAAAACAACAAAACAAAGCAAAACAAAACGAAACGAAACATAATAAAACAACAAACATCCCGAAATTTCAAATAGAAAAATAAACAAGAATTCTAACAGATGTCTCTGTAAGGTTGACTCGGCAAGTGAACAACACGGACTCCCGGAGCTAAGGATTGCCATCTTCCACCGCCGCCTGGTTAGCTCAGTTGGTAGAGCGCCAGTCTGCTGTGCGGGAGGTCGAGGGTTCGAGCCCTAGACCGGACCAACACTCAGGGTCTTAAAATAACTGAGGAGAATGTGCTGCCTTTGTAATTGTACCAGCAAATGGTGAGACATTCAAGTCTTCTCGGATAAGGACTATAAACCGTAGGCCCCGTCTCCTGCATCTTCAATGTTACATGGTCAGCAGGGGACGTTAAAGAACCCACACACTTGTCGAAAAGAGTAGGGGGCGTAGTTCCCGGTGTGGTGGTCTATCTCTTGTTTCATTATACATTTCATGCATGGGCTGGGTGGGTGAGTGAAATCAAATATGGACTGATAGCGGCAGCCAGAGGCGCCTTTACAAGCTGACGTTCGATGTCACTCAATTAGAATTGTATGTGATATGTGCGGTATATAAATACACATTCATTCATTCATTCATTCATTCATCTTTTTCAAGAAGTTAAATGCCTCGTTATAATCTTTTTGCCTTATAAAAATTGATGTAAATTTAGTAAAGCGATAAGTCTAAGATCAATGAAAGGCATTCATATACATTCATATTCATATACATATACATATTCATATTCATATACATATTCATATTCATATACATTCATATTCATATACATTCTCGATACACTATCCAAACATGACTGATCGCTTGTGCTAGCTGCCATCTTATTTCTGGATATACACCCGCGCATGCCCACTGCTTGCTCATCATGATAACTGTATACATCTCACTGTCTAACTTACGTGAAGCCTTTTCCTTACATTATTCTCTCATAGGTTCTTTCCAATCCTACAAAGTTTCTCAAGCGTCTTCATGTACTCAAACAGTGCTTCCAATCCTGTGCTTTATGCTTTCTTTGGTGATCAGTTCAAAATGGGAGTCAAACAAGTATTTAATTCTACTAGACTGCAGAGGTTTCGATCCAGAAAATCAACCTCTTATGGTTGGGGGTCACCTTCCACAACTAACATTTAAGCGGTTAGTTGTGAGCTGTAACTCTAATGTAAGCAAATATCTAAAGCTTTGATAAAATATTGCATAAAGATCAATTGTAGCCTGCTTAAGTTAAAATGCTGGATACCGTACATAAGTATTCCTGTCTTTACCTTCCTATGAAAACACACCCTTATTTCCTTCTTAATTTTTAACAAACTTATAGACTTCAGTCATAATTGAGTGCCAAATAAAAAAGGATAACTATTTTAGTACTGTTGCACCATAAGAGGATGAAGCTAAGAGAGTGACTTCCACGTGTAGGTCCATAAAGTATCCAGGGTATTTGGTTTCAGCTTGTGCGTGTTGTAGATTTTGATGAAGATCAAATTAATGGTATGTCATGAAATAAGGACACATAATTGTCTATTTATAGACCATACTACGATCTCACTTTACGTGAGTGATCTAAGAAAAGCTTTTGAAGGACTGTGTTGAGAAAAAGGCCAATATGGAAGATTTTATCTCTTAGCTTTATTTTCTCTAGGTTAAATTGCCAGAGGGAAGTACAGGTGGACATCTCAATTTTTTTTATTTTTTACCGGCAGATACATGTACATCATGCAGTCCTATTTCCAAGTCCTGATGTACGGCAACAGCGCAACGAACCCAGTTTTGTATGCTTTCCTTGGAGACCAATTCAAGAAAGGATTTAAAAGAGCCATTCGCGGCGGGAGCCAAAGAGGTTTCTACACACCGCGAAGTACGATGAGCACTCGAGCTAGTTCAACTCGATAAAAAAGCTTCCACGTCGTTGAGATTTCCGAAGACCTGGCTACCGTCACTTTACTAAGTTCTTTGAAGGACCTAAATAAGATGGTCCAAGAGCGAAGATTAAGAGATGCTAATCGTATTTGGTTTTTCTCCAATCGCACCACAAAAGATGTCACATGGAAATGATCCTTTGCAAGCTTTACAACAAGTCACTCGAAAATTAAACGCTACGAAGCCTTTTGTATATATGATAATCTGAGACTCTGGCCTTTCCAGACATTGTACGATCATTAAAAGCTCCCTGTGAGCTTTTTTACTTTGTTTGAGAGGAAGACAAGGAAGAGGTCGATGTAGAAGTTCCGTTCCACTTTCCAAAGGCTATGACTGTTTTGGTCAGCTTCCTTTGAGGGCTTGCGACCTCTGGGGAAGGAAATGCTCACATTCCCTAGACCCAGAACTGAAACTTTAGGGCAATTATAAGGATAAAAGGATAAAACAGCCAAAGCCGCATATCCTTGCGTTTTAATGTTCATTTTAAATTTTATTGGAGTTAAAAAAAAACCCCTTAAAGTCTAGATAAGTCCAATTCTCTGCGGTATGTTGGCTTTTGAAGTAGTTGTATGCTTTGCATCGCAAATCTACATCAATCCGTGCATAAGTATATCTCTTTCGCTTTAGCTCTAGCCGGTGAATCCTTGTGGGTGCATGCAATTTTTTTCTAACTCACACTTTGACAAAATTTGTAACCATCTTTTTCAACATTGAAGACCAGGCTCAAAATTACTATCATCTTTAATCTGTATTAAAAGGCATCTCTAATATTTCTCATTCGATAGTAAACAGATTGGATAAAGAAATTAGGTTTTCTAAGAATTTTCTCCTTTGCATTATTTTAAATCACCATTAGTTTGGCAGATTTAGCCTACAGCATTTACATGTTACAACAACATGTAAATAAAGCTAGAAAGCATCAAGCGCTAAGATATATTAACTACACAATAAAATTACCTGACTTGAGTGAAAGTAAGCCAAGCAGATGGGCAAATTTCAATTCCGCACTATATTGCTTTTTTTAGTGTAATTTTTCCTTTAGCATTTTCAATGAATTTCCTATTGTTACAATAAAAAGTAAATGACAGAATAGACTTCACATCGAAAAGAACTTAACAAGTTTACTTCATACTCAGCATAGATGACAGATAAGTACATGTTGTCACACTTAAAGGGGACTTAAAGAAAATCCAGCGGGTCATCCCTGTGTATTTTTTGTCCGACAATAGCGTCTAAAATCGGACTCTGGCGTCTAAATTCAGAGAATGATTTCTAAAATCGTATACTGGCAAACTAGTCTCTAAAATAGGACTTTAGCATCTAGAATTGGACAACAGCGTCTAGATCGGACATTTGCCTTTAAAATCGGACTCTAAACTCCAGAATCGGACACTAAAATGGACATTAGCGTTTTGAATCGGGCACTAGTGTTTAAAATCTGACTTTAGTGTCTAAAATCAAACACTGGCATCTAAAATCGGACACTAAATAAAAAAACTGACACTAGTGTTTAAAATCAGATACTAAGGTCTAATTTCGGACACTGGTGTGTCTAAAATCGCACACCAGAGTCTGAAATCGGTCTCTAGTGTCTACAATCATGCGCTTGTCTCGAACCAAACATTAGTGTTAAAATCGGACCTTGGCGTTTAAAATCACACACTACAAATGGGACAGTAGTGTCTAAAATCAGGCAAGTGTGTCTGATATCGGACCCTAGTGTCCAAAATCGGGCATTGGTGCCTGGATTCGGACACTAGTGTATAAGATATTAGATGCCGCCGTCTCGGATACTCTTTGTTGTTTTCAGTTCTCCTTCGCCATAGGATAGACAGCCAACGAGGTCTTGTATTCACCCTTCACTCCTTGGCATTGGAAATCATATAAATATTCTCTTTACTGTTCCCTTGAAATTTCCTAAAGTGCTGTCAGGGAGAATTGTTTAACCATCAAGAGCTTCTTTAGTTAGTGGCCACTTCCCTTATTTTCGTGTCTTTAATGTTTGATAGAAGGTTTATGCTATGAGGAGAAATTAGAAGCCAGTCACTTGAGGGTTAAAGTGGGAACTCGATTCTTTACGACATAGCTTTCTTGAAAATCGTAACTTATCGTGTATTATATTTTCTACGATGAATATTCTTCAGAAGGTCCAATATCGTTGGACCAGTGTTAAATTTGTTAAATTTAAAGATTAACTCAGAAGAAAAGATTGAAATGTAAAATTTTTCATTTCGGGGAGTGGACAAATGAAACACGGAACCAGTAGCGATTAATTGAATGCTAATTCCGTCTTCCTCTAAGCGCTGCTCAGTGAAGACTAAAAGTGGAGAAAGTGATACTCATTGTGGTAATACAGGCAAAGAAAATGTGTATTAATAGAGCCCAACCCATACACGAAGACATATTTGTGACTTGAGACAATTCAAAATTCCCCCTCCTTCATTTAATTCCTGTGTTAGGCCCGCTCAGTTCCTTATTTCCCCTTTACCCCGCTTTGCCTAGTAGATCGGTGAGGGGAAGGAACAAAAACCCAAAATTTTCGGCGAAAATCCAGGCGAAAATTCCATCACTTATGGAACAACTCTTAACCTTCGTTATCAAGTCTCCGAGGGTTTAAACGAAATGTGACTTAACTTTACAGCTTTACAAGATAATTTGGTTTTGTCAAATGAATTGATAATTTAAATTGGTCACCGTATAGACTTTCTAAAGCTGATTTGGTGCCCTCACGAAAATTTGTGAGTCCTCTCCAACACACACGTCTGCGTGTGTAGGTTCCCATGATTTTTTTGTGGTATCGAATTCTTTCGATGTTGGCACGGCAGGAAATAACAGATCAATTCTACAATAAATTATTCTGTAGTTTTTAAAGTTCTAAGTGCTTTTTTATACATGTACATTTGAGAGGCTAACTGCTTTAATTTTGAGTAAATATTTGGTCGAAGAGTGAAAACTGAAAACGTTTCACGAGACAACTTGAACCTCGTGGATAGACATCTATAAAAGTTGAACATTTTATTTTTAGGAAGATGGATCACATTTATTCACTGTACCTGCCATTTTCTGACTGCCTTCATAAACAACTGTAATGATAACAACTCGGAGATATTAAACTCTAGCAATGATTGACGACTGCCCTCAACCCTGCTGGTATCAGTTAACCCTTCAATTGTCATTTTCTTATGCTCTCATCGGCATTTCAGCATTGTTAATAATAATAATTCGAAATGAATTTAGAAGCAAATGACTGATTATTCAGAACTTTTAATCACTTCCTCATTTCATTGCGTGGCAAAAACAGACATTCTGTTGTGGCTTCTGGAACTTATGATCATGGAATTACATATGGCTGGTTGCCCTTTTACAGTTACCGAAACATGTTTTTGAACTGAAAAAAAAGTGCAGTTGAGGAATTCGTGTTGTGCGCATCGATTCCACAGTTATGTAGCCAATTATATCTGGTGCGGTTATTTTGTTTTGTCTTTTCGTTTACTTTTGTACTATATACACCTTGTGGTCGTTCTTTTTCCCGGTCGTTTTCTGTAGTTTCAATTTTTTATTAGATACGCAAAGCACGCCGATTCTATTGAAGTGCCACAAGTGCCGTCGTAAGCATGGATGAGTTATATTTCAGCGCACGTTTCTTTAAAGGGGTTTTGCTTCTTTTGAGTAAAGATCTCTGTTGACAGCTCAGTTGTTTACATTAAAAACATGGCCGATGGTGCGGCCATCGGCTGAATACCTCATGAAGGTGCTAATTACATCAGAGCCATTTCTGGTTTTAGGTTCTACCGGAAAAGCGGTTTATGGCAAATTAATTACTTTACCAGCGAATCCCATAAAAGAGAAGGCAACCGAGTAAATATTAGGTTTGCGGAGGGCTTTTTTTAATGAAAAGTCAAGACAAAAGTCGGCGGGGTATGGCTTAGTGGAATTTATAGAAGACCGTACGTAATGCAGTTACTAAGGCTCAGGAGACAGTTTCCGTCCTTGAAGTGGGAAGTGTCATTTAAAACCAAAATTACTCCAGGCGTTTATTCATATTGTTTTCAGAAGTTGAATAAGGTCGAATGTGAACTTTGCATAGTTGTGCAGCAATTGCTTGAGCCGTATTCAGAGGACGATTAAGTTGTTTAGTGAGAACTTTGTGTGATGTGGCCCACAAATGAGACGAACATGCTTGTCAATACCACTTCCACACCGATACTAACGGTTGCCGAACCGTTGGGATCCAAAATCTTTCGATTAATTGTGTACACAATAATATTTCTTCTCACCGTCACTGGAAATGTGTCTGTACTTGCTGTCGTTTACAAGATAAGGGAGCTTCATTCTGGTAAGTTGAACATCTAGACAATCTATCATTTTTGGTGTGGTTAATTATAACGATCACTGAAATAGCCATAGTCCAGTACATACCGAAAATATGAACGCCACAATAGAAGAAGCACTTTAAAATGTGCGAAGTAGGGTATTGCGTACAAGGTGTTGTCTGCATTAACAAAGTTTCAATCAAAACACCATGTATAGGCATTTTTGTTTAGATTATTTTCGATCAAATTACCCTTAAAAGTTAGGTATATGCCACAAATACAGCAGGAATACATTGAAACGCGTGGGATGAAAAAAAAACTCTCGTGATCGATTGATTTATTAAATTCGTTTCCTTGGTGTCTCTAACTGGTTTATCAGCACAATGGAGCTCAGGGAAGAGTAAGAATCTTTATAATCTTTTAATTTTAATACTTTACGAAAATATCCACTAATACGGTGTGATGAAAATGGAATTGGTGGCAGATTAACGTACGTCGCGGATCGGGAGATATCCATGTCTCTAACAATCAGTCTATTTTTCTGCATGGTTTGAACATGAGCCAATCTTGGTCAACCATATTAGCAACAATCCGAATTTATTATCACTGAGGGAATTTAGACGATTTGTAGTCATGATATCTTAGTCAAGTGGCCTTATTAGCTATCCTTTGTCGTCGTGTCAAGTGTTTTTAAACACTTTAAAATTTAAAAATTTTAAACTAGGAAGGAGTGCATTCCAAAAACGCTCCACAATTGTTTACCACGGTACTAAACTTAATAAGTTTGTATAAAACTTCTATTTTATCTGCTAATGCCCTCGGCCAAAGTATTGCCTACCAGAATCAATAAATTTGAAATTTCCCTAAGAAATGCAAATTTGAAGATTGCTATTGTAGTTTTGGGACAAGATTTATTGAACAACTCTATTGGCTGACCTTTAACAATTTGTATGGATCGGTTTCAAGGATAATTTATTTTATCTCTTTATATCGCTTTTATTACTTGATGCAATTGCTTTAAATCCTCCTGTCTCCCTGGTGATAAGCCATAACAAGTAGCAACTGGGTACAATTCAGTTTCATTTAGAGATCAATCATGTCAACAATAGCTAAGGAATTCGATTTTCAGAGCATTCCAAAACACAAGCACAGGTATGATTTAGTTTTAATGTTCTGGATCATTCGATCTTTTCCTCTGAACCTTTCGGGATGTTCTAAAAATGGCAAAAGGACTATGCCCAGTGTTTTACATAAGCTATGGGTTGTGTTGGCATGTTTTGAATTCATGAGTTGGAATTTGCTTTGTTTCACAGAATTGTCACCATTTGGACTTTAACACTCCATCGAGGTTAACATAGCGATTCAGTTTTTTTGCATCTGTTGGTCGTTTTGACGACAAATCTATTGAAGTGAAAAGAAAATGATGGGCCTCCAAGGCTTCAAAGTAGAGTAGATTTGATACTATTCCTTTTCATGAGCAATTCTTTACACATATGGACATTTAAACTCTATGTTATTGGTAAACAAACTCTTAAATCTACTTCATGTGAGTGCTGTTTTAAGTCCCAACCAACTACAAATTTGCAATGCCGCCAGGTGAATTGACACTCTTTTTTTCAACTTTCCTGGTTGACGACAGGATTCTAAGTGGCCCTCAGAAAAACAAAATGGATAAATGTAGGGAATTCGTCGAAGTGCTTAGGCGTAATTGCTTTGAACCGCATGACGCAAACTTATGGCATTTACTCTTTGAAGAACCCGACGATCATTAACATCTGTCCTCGTTTCTAAACATTTATTAGTTAATGACATGTAACTGCATAAAGTAATCGTCCATCAACTGAACCGTTGTCAGAAATGAAAGCCGATGGAGATATTAACTGTTAATTAATATAAGGTGGACAGAGGTGCTAATTAAATTTTGTTAGGACAACAAAAGAATAGAATCAAAACTAGACCAACATGGATGTTTAAACCTATAAAGAATATAACTAATTTTATTGGTAGAATAGTACAGATAGCTGGAGTTAATCTTATTGTCGACGTTCTGACGCCATGTTAGTTTCAAGGAAGGTTTGCATCGCTCCAACCTTCTATTGATATGAGCCACCTCGATACAAAGTTCGACGTTCTTTGAAACCGTTTGACCCTCAGAAGCGATTGGTGTCTAAACAGCTTTATGGTAAAGTTTACAGTGACATGTTAAGGTTGTAAGAGGGTTAGGATAATCAGCTTCAATTCCAGGCAAAAGACGTCAAATTACGTTCGTTTTTATGTTGACTGTTCATAATTTTTTAAGTACACGCATTCTAGGAACTGTCGGGATGCACTGGGTATTCCGACAGTAACATTCAGTGGTGAATTGGACTTCTTCGCCTTTTCCATTTATCAGTTTTTCCAACTGAAATTAATAATCCTCACGCACTTATCTCCGCAAAAACCAAAGGGTTGACTTTATTGAAATGATTTTGTTTTTTTAACTCCCTAACAAATCTAATACACATCAGATAGCATTTTTAATATTATAATAAAGAAAGTGAGGATTAGAAAATAAACTTTAGCAGGTTAATGTGTGGAAGATAAACTATGGTGTTGACCTTTTTTTCACTACTTTCGTCATAATGTGAATGCCCTCTTGTCTTCAAAATTTCAAAATTTTTAACTGAAAAAAGTATATGTCGCCTCATTTCCTACATCTTAGATGGAAAATATATGGTAAGCCTAGATGGAAGCCTCTTAACACTTTCCTGCTGTGAAACTTGTGGGATTACTTCTTTTTCATACCTCAGACTTTCGTGCAGTTTAAAGAAGAATAAAATCAACTCAGGGAGATTGTCTCCGTCAATCACAGCTATTGCTTCTCTTTTCCCAGTTACAGGTTACCTCATTGCAAACCTTGCTGTGGCTGATTTGAGTGTCGGCATCTTATGCATCCCCTTCACAGTTCTTTATTTTGAACTTAGATACTGGCCATTTGGGTACGCTCTTTGTAAAATCATTCCCACGGCACAAGCAATGTCTGTTATGGCTTCCATTGGAACACTAGCGGCTATAAGTCTAGGTAAGTGTTGTTTTGCTTAAAAAGTGCCAGACTCAAGTTCGGTTTTCTTTGAAGGCCGGCTTGGACAAGCGGGTCAAGTTATTAAGGTCGACATGTGTTTCTTTCTTGACTGAATTTTCTGAGGACGGTTATAGTGAAGCTTCCCCGACTTCACGTTTTGAATTCAGTTGTCAATATAAACTATTAGGTCAATCAATTCGGCTCTTGGTTTTTCAAAAGATCTCAGATCAGCTGATATGTCTTGTCGGCAATGCAGGGTCCTCTCTTATTTTGTCGTTTTTAATATCAACTGACTCAATGAGAGCCTGACTTAAAGATTATGTGAAAGCGACCGAAGAATCGATAGGTAAATAGAGATCTTTTTAAGATAATTTAGACAGCAATATTGTATAGTAAGTGCTCTAAACAGCTCTTTTCAATTTCAGATCGTTACCGAGCGATTGCTTATCCATATGAGCCCCGCATTACATTATATCAGGCGCGTTTCATCATCGTTGTCGTTTGGCTGACCGCAACTCTAGTTGGCCTACCGTTTGTCGCAGTGATGCAGTTAAGGGAAGATCAGGATGGTCTCTATTGTTCGGAGGATGGCTGGCCCAATGAGACATTCAAAGACGTTTACAATGTTCTGTCATTTTGTCTAACATATGCCATACCACTACCAACCATAGCGGTGTTCTATACTATAATTGTAATGAAGCTTAATAAGGCCGCAAGGGAAACGTCGGACAGTGAAGGATTTAGAACAGCGAAAGCCAAGGGAAAGGTGGTGAAAATGTTGATAGTCGTGGTGATTCTCTACTTTCTTTGCTTTCTGCCTTACCACATCACATATTTGTGGTTTGAGTTTGGAGAAGGACAACAGTACAAGTAAGTATAAATATTCTTAGTACGACGGTCTCCATCTCCTTCTCCTTCCCTTTTCACGTGCCAGTTTTCTTTTTTCTTGACCTTGTCACCTTCCTTTATCCATAAGGAATCTTCACATTTGTATGAAATAGGAAAAACAAACATGCATGTCCTTCTCCTCAGTGCTTTAATTTGCAAGTGACTGATACGTATTGATATGTATATATTACTTCCTACAAGTGGGAATAGGTTTCGGTGTGGCTGAGTTCGCAAATCAGACTGCCAAAGTACATCCATTTTTTATCGTTCCAACCATGCCAAACTCTAGCAACAGTCCTGGGGTCTTTTATGTCCCCTGTTTATCCCTGTTTATACTGTATCAGTAAATGAGGCCACCCGCCTATCAATCATTTGAGAAAATTCGATCATAAAATCATTTTCAGACAATTGTCATTTCAAAAGGCAGCACATCTTCATCAGCAATTAATTCCTTAAGTGTTTGTAAACCCTCAAACTTCAGCACGACAGGCTGGTTCTTTCTCAACTGAGTCAAACAGGCAGCGGTGTATGTCATTTTTGTTGTTGTATTCACTATTTTTGTCATTGTTGTTGCTCATATCTTCGTTGTGGCGTTTTTAGTGTTAAAGCTTAACTTTTTGTTATTGTTTACGCTGTGGCTCCGTTAATTTAGTATTAGCAGTTGCTTGCGTTGTTTTGCATTCATATTCCACTACCATTTTGTATTATAAACTTCAGTCACTTTAGTTTTGAATTTTGCGAACTCGTTGGTTGCGACTTAAAGCCGATTTAACAGGCTAATCGGCCAAGTATTGAAAACAAATTAATAAACCATAAACAGGATATGCTTCACAAATAGCCTCAACGTTGGTGTGCGCCTCTCCAATTGTAGATAACCGACTGAGATGCACGCAACTTGTTGAGACAAGAATGCGACACTCTAGTCGGTGGTGCGTTTGTGATACCTCTACGAAACATATGCACGGTAACAAGAAATCAATTTGATTTATGGTAAACATAAATTAAATAAAACAACAACAATAGTGAAGTTGTCTACGCATGTCCTCTGACAGAATGTCTCAAGTTGAAAGCTCAACACATTTTAATATGGGAAACCAATAAGGTAAACAGCAGGATGGTTATTCCGTGTGTTTTACTTCCATCTTTTGTGATCTTTCTTTTCTTCTTTCAAGGGGATTCTGGATTCTGTTCTCCTATTGCCACGTACTGGTGTACGCAAACAGTGCGGTAAACCCTGTGTTGTATGGTTTTTTAAGTGAACAGTTTCGAAGAGGATTCGCCCGTTTGGTGCCTTGCTGTCGAATCTGGAGTAAAGATTACAAGGTTTCAAGGTCAATGTGCTCACAATCTACTTATTATGATCGTAAGACTGTTTGTGTGACAGATGTTTAGTGTGCTTCTAAGGTTGAAACTCAAAGTTCCATTAGAGTAAGACCAAAGTTTGCACAAAATGTTTATGCTGATGAGCTGAAGACTTTTAGCAGTAGTTCCATTGATGCTCGTACCTCCAGATACAACATTTTATAAAATATTTTTGAACTGGAATACTATTGGTTGAGCTGCTCGGTTAGATTACAGCATGGTGCTTGATTGGGTCTTTTCAGCTTGCAAAGGCACGAAGTGCTGAAGGATCTTGAACGAAATCTTACCATCCCCAGGGATGGCTTTGCTTTTGCATAAAACAGCTTCACCTGCTTAATATAAAGGTTAATCTTGAAAAAAGCAAGGCGACTATTGCAAAGTTTAGCCTAAAAAAAACTTTCCTTAATGCACGAATCATACAAATAAAGCAGGTTCGATACAATTTTCGTAGGGAAATGTTTGAAAAGGAAAAAATATTTGCGCATAATATTGCGACAGTATTTAGATTAAACCGTAAAAGAAGATGTATAGCCTTGTGCTCTGTAAGATGTACTATCGCTTCAGACTGATTATGGCTCCATAGAAATTAAAAAAAAAAAAAATTCTCCATTTGAGAATTTGCGATTGAGGTTTGGAAACACGCCATGTTCATCTTGAAGGTTTTGCTGATAAGAACATTTGGTGGATGTGAAATGCCTCATCATATTTCTCATACATGCAAACGCTCATCCGTGCATCACATTTTCCATCATTCACTAGGTATCCATACGCCAGCAGTGTTTCACGCGTCATCGAGAGACCGACGACAATTTACCAATCAGTGTCTGTTTGGATATAAAGAGCTACGCAATGAGCAACAGAGAAGATGGTTCTCATTCAAAACGTTCATTTCCACTCGTGCCAAGCCTGGAAACAGCCGAAGATCACTTTCGAGTTGTATCTTGCATCTCTATTTATCCATGTTTTCTCGTCTTTGAGATCATACGTGTATTCACGCATTTGTGTCATTACGAACCCTTTTGCGGTGGGCTACAATTGACAAGGGCCCTACCTTTTTCGTTTTCCTTTTTCTGGTTAGTTCTTTTTGAATTGATCTTCAAATATCGTCTACAGGGGCCACGAGGGTGGAGTAATTTGTCAAGGATCTCCCTGAGGGTTGGTAGAAACTGGGTAATCTGGATTAAACTATTCTCAAGCACCACTACTTTTCGTCGTCTGTCCCCATTTGAAATGATAACCATGCCAGACAAACAGCTGGCCCAATTTACAAAAAACAAAAAGATATTTTGGGGGACTACGAAAGACATGCATTGCTTCTGGCTCATATGTCGCACACCGTAAAACAATTACCATTAATCCTGTATACCTCCGCTCTCATCGTATTTCATTACTTCGTGACTATTTCAGCGACTGGTAATGCACTGTGAGGTTATGAACAACGGATGTTATTATAAAGAGACGGTTATCAAGGATGGAATATTCTCTAGATAGATTATCAAAATAAGAGTTATACTGTAACAATTTCTCATGATCCGCTTTTCGAGCAGCCGTTTCTGTCCTCACTGAGGAACAAGCCCTGGAGGTCTTTAGAACTTAATACGGGTAAAAGAGATTTCAGTTAATATTATCAGTGATATGTTGACGTAAAAAGGTTTTTAAGGTTGACTGAACTCTTTACAAATCTAAATAACTGAAGTATTTAAAATTTCGCATACTAATGTCAGCCATTAGGAAAGCCATCGATAAAGTATGATACATCGCAGGACATTTTTAAAGATGGTTTTACATTCTCTCCAAGCTTATCTTGCAAAGAAGGAACAATTTGACAAGTAACAGTACGTCAAAATAATTATTCTGGGGACTTTCTCTCACTATTTAGGCAAACCTAACAGTTTTAGATTTTAACAGTATTCTTTACAAGGACATAGGAGTAATTGCCCTCCGCACCACCGTGCACATGGAATTTAAATTTACATCAGGTTATGTCTCCACTCTAAACCACCCCTTTTTCTGACAAAAAGGGTTGAGGGTGAAATAGTGTCAGTTGAAACTTAGGTTCTTCTATCCCTTACACTAATAATGCTAAAAGTTAGAAGAGACACTTTACAATTTTCATCCAACGTGAAACCCAAAATGTGATCTATTTACACTTAACGGTATTGTTTCTACTCTGCGATTTTCTGGGCTCCAATTCACAAAACCATACCTTCCTTGCTGGTTTCAGGACCTAATTTACTGATGAATCAGGGAATTGAATTTTCTTTCCTGGTTTACCTCTTTTACATATTCATCTCGTCTTTCTTCGTTCTCTCTTTGTAGCGGTTTTTGCCTTATCAGTACTTGGGTTTATTTTAGCTATTTCTTTCTAATCATACTAAAGTTACTATGCTTGTCTGTAATTTAGTTTTGTTTTTGTCATTCGCCTTCACAGCTCGGTGTAATGGCGCTTAGGCTGATAACCTTATGGGTTTAAATAAGGATGTCGGGCCTTGGGCCTTTTGGATGACGTTCGCCAGTGTTGTGGTCTCAGTGTGCCCGCATTGTCTCACTTCAGCGACATGTATTCCGCGTCCGCTTGGATTGTAACGTGTCCATATACTTCTGGACCCAAGGTTATTCTGTTGCTTTCGTACTTACATCTCGTTTAGGAGGTTTAAATTCACTTTGAACTGCAAGCGAAAAACATGAGTAAGCAAGTGGTAAATTTCCACAAGGAAAGTTCACATTATACTAGTTGTTTATCATCAAATTTAAAACACTTTGACTCTGCATAATGTTGCTGTAAACGTAGACATATTGATCAACATACTTTATTCTTCACTATGATGATATTGCCTTAACAAAGAGAAAAATGACGTTAAAAAACTGCCAGTTAAGTCTCCTTAAAAAGTAAGTAAAAATAATCAACGACCTCAAAGTTTTCCTGCAATTTTTTCTATATTTTGTCAAACCAACTTTATCTAATTTAAAGTGGACCACATCGATTTCTATTATAGTTTTTCTCATAAGGCAGCTTTCTCCGATAGATAAAACAATACTCCTGAATACAAACCTGCTCAATAAGTTGTTTTTCATTTTGAGCCTCGGCGCAGTTTAATCCTTTTTCGAACATTTTTTTGGCTTCTTCTGTCTTTCCTGTCATAGCTAAAACTCTCCCATAAGTAGCCATGACACTGGCATCATCGGGTTTCAAGTTGAGTAGCTTTTTAAAGTACGTTGAGGCTGTAACGAAGTCCTCATAAAAGGCGTGGCACTTTGCTAAGTTCTCAAGAATTATCTGTGAGTGAATAGAATGACAGAATTAAGGTAACTGTTGAAAACAGGAATATACTATAACAAAAGAAGAACTCAAATGTTACTCTTAACTAGGGCCTGCCTTAGGAGCAATTCCTTGGAATTGGCCTTAGGACTGATGACATTTATTATAGAGACTCTCGCTATTCCAAAATGATTGTTAGAACCACTAGGCATCAGACCTGAGTAACGTACCGTATCACTTGGAAATTTCTCGTGCGCAGACTGGATTACATCAAGGCCTTGTTTCCTGTGCTGATTTTCAATAAAACTCAGATATGACTCATTGTACTTCTCGGGACCAAAATCACCTTTTCCTAAAATCATTAACGTTCTCTGCGAGTCTCCACTTTTAGCTAATTTTGGAAGCAATCGCCCAAAAATCATTGCGCTTTTGGGGAACCTGCAACCAAGAGTACTCTCAGTAAAATTTCGGTGTCTTTCTTTAGAAAAAATAATTATAATATCTCATTAGAGCTGAATTTTCAACGTCAATAAGTGGAATTTAGGGGTCAAGTCTTAAAACGAGTGTGGATTTGGAGACTCAGGCGGCAAATCTCCTAAAGTATTAAATTATCATAGGGCTTTTCTAAGCTCGAGGCAAAAAAAAAATGACCACCCCCGGCCGTATCGACCAAAGGAATAATTTTTACTTTTCAATGCCATGTTCCACCGTTTCCTCATATGGTCTCGTAGGCCTTTTATCTCCAAGTAGATCTTCATCTAAAAAGTCTAGAGCAGCGAAATCTCTGTCTGAGGCAAAATCTGTGCCTACCTGAAAACAGCAAACAAACAAAAAATGAAAAATAAAAAAATTTAATTTAATTTAATAATAAGTTCTTATATAGCGCATTAAAATTGAACTCTATGCGCTTTACAATTACAAATTAACAAAATTTCGATAAAAAGTAAGAGGAATTAGTCATGTAGAATCAAGAATCATTTTAAGCTTTTTGTTTTTTAATTTTAAGCCCGTGTTCCTGACATTCTAGAACATTTAAAGCCCGATCTTCTAGAAAGTTCGTCAGGAATGCCGCAATTGAATAAATTTAAGAAGGAGAAATAGGAGCTTATTTGTTTAAGTCAATTATAGTTTTAAAATAATTATGATTATATAATTTACCAGTCTTTCGAATAACTGTCTTGCCTCCTCATGATGGCCGTTGTTGAGGTAATAATCTGCCATGCCTGCGTTCAGCGGAGGAATTGACGTATTCATTTGACCCTTTCGGTATTTGGTCACTCCTTAAAAGAAAAAGAGAGTTCTTTTCATTTTAGGTAAAACACTGACAATCTAGCGTTAAAAAAATATCAAGAATGTATAGAGCGAAAATTAATGAGCTTAGCTGTACTATTATATCTGTCTCGAGAGAAATTCATGTTATGCGCTATTGCTGGTCGCTGGTCTGGTTTCAACATCCGATGTGGTTGCGAAGGCCGATTATCGAACTTTAAAACGTATCAAGTTGTGTAATTGATGATTCTTTTTTCATCCTTAATCCGTTAATATTGTATGTCACTAGTTCGTAAATCTCATTTACCGTCATTCTGAAGGCGTCAAATCTTTCTCATCACTGAATCCTTTAAACTTAAACTAGCAGGCTTTAAGCCAAAAAGTTCGGCAACAAAAGCCACAAGCCATAGCGTTGGAGATAAATCATACTGAATCACGAACCTGCTTTCTTGAAATACGGATGAGCGTCATCAAATTTTCCAGCCACTGCATAGCCGAGCGCTACATTCTCCTGAGCGTTCAATGTAAAAATATGTTCTGGACCTAAAGATTTCTAGAAAAGAAAACAGCAACGGATATGATTATATGTGAGACCTCATTTCATGAAGGTATTTTCATAATAAGCCCGTTTAAACAGTCTAAAAGGTCTTCAGTTCCGTTAATAGTCAAGATTAGGATTTTTAAATCTTAAAAGATTAAGCCTTCATCACCTAGTAACCAAGGCGTCACTATGGCTGCCTTTTTCGAATTAAAGGTTAACCAAAAATATCTAGGAGAAATGTCAAGACTTGTGCCTTCGGTGGCTGGGGGAGAGAGGTTGGAGTGCGAAGATCTTTGTGCTTTCTCGTATTTTTGAGTCATTGAATATTAGCTAAGCTAAATTTACTAGAAAGAGGAAATCACCTCTCCCTCTGAAGTAAACCAAAATTCGCCGTATAGAATTATTTGTAGTAAACTAAAATGAGATCAACATTTGAAACTCTTCAATCCACCATTCGCTGGACGGGGTTGCTGCCAAACACTATGTCCTTATAATGACCGAATGAAAGCATCATCGAGACATCAAATTAACATCGAAAACTTTGCTTCTCCCGTTGCATGCCTAATAATGATACTAGCGTACGTCAGTTTACCTCTAAGATTTCCGCCGCTCGTATGGCGGTTTCAGCTGACTTGATAGCATCCAAATTGAGTAGAAAGGAAGAATAACTAAGTAACGTCTGACCTACGTCATGATGGTTCGGTCCATAAGCTTTAGTGCGGATGTCCAAAGCTCTGAAATATGTGTAATATATTCTTCTCAACACCGAAGCAATAACAGGGAAGGACAATCAATTAAAATATATATCATTAGAGCTGAATTTACAAAGTAAAGGTAAGGGGT